AATAAATGGCTGTGGGGTACTTTGAGGATTAATTTACACTGATTGATTTCTCAATCATTTTTTATCCTGTGTGAGATGGATCACAACCCGAGGTCCTAAGGCTTGTTTAATTTGGCTGTTACAAAACTCTTGATTAAAAATTAGATGCTATCAAACCTGCGAGGAGGTTTGAGGACTTTTCACTTTGTACACAGCTTAGCTTTTCCTACTTCTTTCCAGGAGTGCTGAAATGAAAAAGTAGAAATCGTTATTACTGACACCTTCGACGGGCGAATTTGTCCGATAAACATCCCAAAACACAAATGTCTTCAATTAACAGAGACAGCAGTTAGATGAGGATTCCTCAATCAAAACTCGTTCAATCGCCAACTTTTTTTGATAATTAATGAATTCATTCAGCCATTTTTCTTCAACATTTTTTACATTATATGTCACACTGGACTCTGGTGAACTGCCACAAGCATTTCTCAATCAATCAATCATTATTTGTATAGCGCCAATTCATAACAAGTGTTATCTCAAGGCTCTTTACAAAAGAGCAGGTTAAAGACCTTACTCATTGTTAGGAAAAATGAGATGGGGGGGAGAGATGGGATAATATGCAGGAAGGATTTCTCCTTTGTATTCCTCGTGTTTCTGTTTTCCACACTTCCTTTGTTGCTGAGGTGGAGGTCGGAGCAGGCCGTGCATGAACGAGGACGATGGTGGTTTTCTTACATTTTATCACTATGAGAATGAATATGCATGTGAATGTCAGTTTGAGCTACTATCAGTTCACCTGTCTTATCATAAATACTCAGTTTCAGCACATATCATCATATTTCATACAACACCAGAGGGTAACAGGGAACCATTTGTGGACCAGCTCTGCTTTGAGCTCGACTTGAAAAATGATTTTATTGCTCTGTATTGATGCAACATGTCATACAATCCTCGTTAATCTAATGCTCGATAGAATAGAAAAGTACAGAAAGCTTTAACAAACTACAGAGAGCGAGAGTAATGTCTCAATTGAACTAAAAAGGGTGAACGACCTGTGCAATTAAGACTGTGAACAAAACAAGAAATGAGCCAACACTGGGTCCCTACGACTTCTATTTGTGTTGCCATGGTTACAGGTACCTGATATTAGCAGTGGGGGGGGGAAATATTTTGGAAAAATCGAGATTCTTATCTTCTGAGATTTTAAATAGATTCATAACTTCCAAATATATTTTTTTTTTTGGGGGGGGGCTCATCAGTCACTCCCTGCTAAGTGCTAATGCTAGCTCTTTCACTCAGGTAAATGCCAAATAGAGCAGAGAGAAATTCAGCCAGTCTCACAGATGACTGGAGTAGATCCTGAAGTACATCCTAATTCAAAAATAGACTTCATGAATCATGAATCCAGAATCGTTTTGAATCGAAAATAGATTCTCAACCGAATCATGACCCCAAGAATCGAATGGTGAGACACCCAAAGGTTCCCAGCCCGTCCTAGGATAGTTTGATTTTAACTGTGTTTGAAATGCTGTGTTTGTGACAACCCTAACTGCAACCACAGCTATATAGCATCGACAGTACCACATATGTTCTTTATCTAATAGTGTGATTATAACTTACTCCAAAGCATTACAAGAATAAGCACTGAGCAGGATTATATCATGCCACTCATGCAGTGATGCACGCAAACGGCTCAGTTAGCAGACAGTATAACAAGTCTATGGTGTCCATTTCCCCTCAAATCGGCTCCAAAATACAGACATATAATAAGGCTGTGATGGTTGGATCAGCACAGCGTCCTACAGCTCCATATTTAGGTTTGAGTAAGACATCTATCTCAGGAGGGTTATTCTAGTCGAGGCTGTAGGAGCAATGAGTCAGTGAATGCCCTGAAATCTGACAGCCAGTCGTCTGCAGCCCGCTTTTCCCTTTTTCCCGAGCATACATCTAATCAGGTAGCGCAGTAACTGCCTAGTCCTCTCACTTGGCCTCGACTTCTAATAGGGATGAATGATATGGGAGGTGAATTTCACACATTAAGAGAGGGTGAACTGAGCTGATAGCTCCAGTCAGTGGTGGAAAGAGGCAGAGAGTCGGGGTTATTCCTTTCAGGGAGGGGACGAGGATGGATGTGTTAACACATGACCGAGTGCTTGAGGTGGATGAGGAAGACGGGGGGGGGGGGGAATCTGGCCTCATTATTTCAATACTGGAGAGAGATGTTCGTCTAGCGCTGGAGAGGAAGGAGGCTTTTGAATTAGGTTAAACTGAGAACGCAAAGTGGGGCTGAGGCTAGGAATGCGAATCATCGCATTACAGCGAAACAGTGCGGAGGAAATTCAACAGCTCTCTGCTTTTGCTGAAACTTCACATTATTATTGCAGCATTTATGATTTGTTTTTTTCCCCCTCACAGCGTAAGCCACGAGAGTGACAATTTATTTGTGCAGGAAGTGGGCTGGTTGTTTCTGTGAGCACGATAAACAGCAGCTTCTGTTTATCTACAAGGCTCTCGGACACAAACCTTCACCTTGCTTTGCATAAATTAACTTAACAGAGAGGATCCATGAAACTGCTAATTCTTTGGGAAACGCTTGTTGAAAATGGTTCTGGGGGGGAATCAGGCTTTAGGTTCTATCGCCCACTAAACAGAATTAATTGCACGAGTGTTGAAGTTAGACTCTCTAAGGGAAATAGAGACTTAAGTAAGAAGCAGTTACACTCCTTACACAACTGATTACATGCCTGCTCGTCTTAATATTCCAGCCTGTGTATGTGATCGTTATCGTGCGCCTGCACTGGATCATGTTGTCTGCAACGGTTTATTTTCATTATCTCAAGAATTCAATGAGCACACAAGATGTTGAACATATGATCTCTTATTTAACCCGCATGCTGCTTCCATTACAGGGTGGGATTAAGTTTCTGGAGCCATCAGAATCTTAGGCAAATATTTTGTTACGTGTGCAGCTCTGAGCCAGAAAGTCAACCGTGGGTCAATCAAGCAGAACAATCCGAATTAGCACGGCCCCTCACAACGTGATCTCTGTACCCCCCCCCCCCCCCCCCTACCGCAACAAGGAGCTATGTCTTCCCTGTGCATCATAAACAAGTGAAATGAATCAGTGACCTAATTCAAGTCGGACAGAGAGACCTACAGTCAGCAGAACGCCTGATTGCTGCCGTTGCACATTACACAGCTTTAGGTGCTGCGATGATGTCACCGCTGTGTGGGTGTCATAACTTCATGTGACCCGGGATGATCTTTGAAAACGCCATGCGTTCATGGTGCGATGTCTGACAAACAGTCTGTGGCTCTCCAGAGAGCCTGTCAGAAAAGGGAAAAGCAAACAAAAAAAAAAAAAAACACACCCACTGTTGCTGCTGCAAGTTTGGACACGGAGGCACAAATACTTTTTTTTTGGCAACATTTTCTCCACTGTTAAAAAACAGATAAACAACTCGTCAGGCACCTACAGCAGAAACTACAGCTTTTGGACGGCAAAATGCAATAAGTTATGTCTTTCTCAAACATTTAAAACAACTAATCAATTTTAAATATAGAAGCAGGAAACTCGAGGAGCACTTGGGAGACGGACAGATGCACTGATGACAGATGATTTAGTGATATTCATCTCATCCACAAACATAATAATCTCCTTGGAGACCGGCCTGTGCTTTAACAGATGCTGCTGAAATGGCAGCCAAGCAAGTCAATGTACAAAAATCTCCAACACAAACTTACAGATAACTGCCTACATTGACCAGTTTTTTTTTTTCCCACCTGCTCCGTGGATTCCTCTGAGACATTCTTCTTAAGTGCAGCACTGACAGATGAGTCAACATCTTGTCAACCACTCCAAACCTGCAGAGCCCACATCCACCCTTTAATACCACACACTGTACAATGAGAGCTACACTGAGTTTGCACACAGCACCTACTGCTGCTGCTACAGCCTCTTGGACGCTGAGAGTATTCCGAGTTCGCAGCCTTCAGACACACAGCTAATGATTATTGAGGGGCTCTTTGGGGCATTTCTTACAGAGTCTGACCACTTTTGACGAAACATACAGTTCAGTATATAAATGGAGCACAAAGGATGAGGCCACTGAGGCTTATTGCACAGAGCACACTGAACATCTAATGGTATAGCGCATAGCTAAAGCAGGGACCTGTTTTTTTCAGTTTAGGTCAAGATCACAGAATTGCGCAACCTTCAGTTTCGTTTTCATCTGCACATCAAGGTCATCTGGTCACCTCTTCAGTAAATAAGAGCCTATAGCTTTCACTCCTGGAGCCGCATGATTGACGTATCCTGGGGGGGGGGGGGGGGTGCACTGGCCTGCTAGATGCTCCTTTTCTTTCAGAGTGGCTGGATTTTACTCAGACTGCGGCTGACAACCCCGCACAGCCCCAAAATAGGCGAACTGCATTCCTATATGCTCCAATGACAGCGACGTAAAATAGGACCCCAAAAAAAAAAAAAAAAAACCTGAGGAGGTGAGCACTCCGTGTTCTGTCATCCAATCCAGGCAAAAAGCATTGCGCCCTGCAGTGAGGATGGATACGCGGCTCCAGAATAATAATTATGTGTACACCTTTGGCCACGGGATAATGTGATCTTATTGATTATTTGCCCGGGAGGTAATAGGTAAGTATTTCTCATTTATTTTTTTTTTTTTGCCTGGGCGACATTTCACATCCGAGCGACGCCCATACAAGCCACAAGTCACTGGACCATCATGTGTGCAAATACCAAACCTTGTATTACATTTTATCCCCCTCGTCCATTAGGGCCAGTTTCCGCGCCCCCCCCCCTTAAGTGAAATAATGGCAGGCCACATTCCCATGGGCATCCGTGAGAACCAAAGTCAGCGCTGTTATATGGCTTTCAGGGGCAGTGTCAGAGGCAGACACAGGTTGACACATAACCGAAAGGTGCAACAACAAAAAAAAAGAAAACATCAACATCATGTGTGCAGGGGGAGAAAAAAAAAAAGAAAAGAGCGGATCCTTACCGTATCAGCAGTCGCAGCGATGTAGGCGCATATACATATACACATCCAGCGCACAGAGGAGTCAGGAATAACCCTTTCTGCGCTCTTTTATACAGTCCCAAAACGGCGTAGATCTTGTTTTAGAAAATTCCTGTCGATGAATAAATTCACTGGGTTTGGCGCCTCCACTCCGTGTCTGTGCTTTCTTCCTGGAGCCGCAACAAAAAAAAAAAGAAAAGAAAAGACGTGGGTAAAAAATTGGGGATGGAGGTGTAATAAACCAATAGCTGCGTGCTTAGTATCCCGATGAGCGCTCACACGGGAGGATGTAACATGTCCTTCCAAATGCACTAAGTCCAGTGAAGTGCTGGAGGAGGACAGAGGCGTATCGCTCTCTCTCTCTCTCTCTCTCTCTCTATCCGTCAGTCTGTATCCTTCACTCCCTCCCTCTCCTTCCTCTCTCTCTCTTTATCTTTGTCGGCTGCCTCTATGTTCTTACTGACTTCTGCTGAAGTCCACAGACGCAGGGCGCAGCGGAGCAGAGGAGCGTGGTCAACACGGTGCGAGCGAGAGAGCGAGGGAGAGAGAGAGAGAGAGAGAGAGAGAGAGAGAGAGTCAAGAAATGACAAACCAATTTGGAGGCGCGGTGGATGCTCGGTTGATCGAGCGCAGCCCGGCGAGAGGAGCGTCGCGTTTGCAAGGCGGGCAGGGAGCCGAGGGTGGAAGGAGGTGCTGGGGAGGAGGAGGAGGGGGGTGATGATTCCAGCCTGGGGGATGCAGAGAGAGGAAAGAGGGAGAGATGAAGTGTGTGGGGGGTGTCTGGTGGAAAACACGGAACTGGATCTGGCTCCCAAATCTCTGGACCGAGGGCTCCACCTGCCGTGAGAAAGCACACAGGGGCGCCCATAGTTTCAACGGCAAGTCATTTCCATAAGCCCCATTAGACCCCTCACTGGATATGATTTACACAAGAGAGGCTCCTAACTGAGAGGTGCAAGCCATGAGCTGGCAAACAGCTGCTATATGGCACCTTTAGGTGACAAGTTGTACTGTTACGTACCATTCTCAGCTAAATTTGACAAGAAAAATGGCGAATAAAATGTGTTTTAGTTTCAATGGCCCTCAGAAAAATTTTAGAAATATTTTCACCTAATTATAGCCATGAATTTGTATTTATTTTTGTTTATTTATAGGCTAATGAAGATCACTTTAATGTATTTTGGTGGGGATTAATTGTGACCTAATATAATATAATAATATAATAATTGTAAACCTAATATAATCCATAGCCAGGCAACACAAGAATACAAGGCAAAACAAATAGTTTGTGTATGTATTTTGTTTACCAAGTGATTAAAAACAATATCGTGGTGCCGCCTCCCCCGTGTACCCACAATGCCCTGAATGGCCACTAGGAGGCGCTCACAGAAACCCCCCAAGAGAACCGAGAAGAAATGACAAAATAACTGCTGTGAATATCAGGACGACACTTCGCCAGCAGATCATTTCATTTTAAGCTGCTTGGTGCATAAAAAGGGGAGTGTTTTTTTTTGTTTTTTTTACTACACCAGATAAGACTAACGTAATCTAAAGAAACCTTAAATGCATTTTACCTGCTCACATTGAACCAGTCAAGTTGACACAGAGATAGTTTTTGAGATAAGCGAGGATAACTGGGAAAGGGGTAAAGCTGACTTTCTATCGCGAGAACTCGTTCGCCACTAGGATTCGATTCTGATCGATTCTGATGCACGTCAAGGTACGGGTGCTCCGGGGATGGCAGTCAAAAAGGATACCCGCGATTTTTTTAAATTATTTTATTTTTTTTAGATAAAGGGACATCACGTATATAAAACGAAATACCACAAGAGACAAGCACATACAAACAAAAAATAAGAAATAGGTAAACTATAACTTTACATAGGGGTATCAAAAAAACAAATTAAAGTACTATTTTTAGATTTTTTTTTCCATGTTGTCTCTGCTTTTCTGTATTTCAGTCCATGTAATGGTTGAATGTAGTGATCTATTTCTATTCTGAATTCCTGAATTTAAGGTATGTTTTTGATTCCATTTACATGTGGATGTGATACTTCCCATACAAAATTAATAAATTCGAGATTAATATTTTCCATTCCACTATTTTTGTAGAAAAATGTATAATTTTCCTTCATTTCAACAGTTAAGCCAGTCGTGCTTTGAACCCTCTACATCTTACCAAAATATGGATCATGCAATAAGTGACAAATACGGCCAATAAAGATAAATATTGTTGGAAATGACGTCACCAAACACGTTAACCTGGTCAAAATAGCTTCAAAAATAAAAGGGGGGAAATTAACTAAAACTTCTTAACATTAGCCTAAATGTCACTGTTTTATTTCTTTAAAAGAAAAAGTAAATAAAAAGCATTATATTGTGATTTTTTTTTTTTACATGTTTTTCTCTGCTGACGTTTTCTAGCCAGAGATCGTTGGCCTTGTTGACTTGTTGACTTTTGTTTTGCTGCCACTCTATTATTCATAATAAAGAGTTATTGACAGCCTTTCTCTTGACATTTGTGTGTTACAGGATTATCTGAGGCTAGTTCCTTTTCCCATAAGGGGGATGAACCCTCTGTCCCTGAAGATCACTGCGTGACATGCGCACTTGCACGGAGCGCTCACAAGCCGCGGACACAATGCTGGAAAAATAAAGCGCACAGCTTGCTTCTTGATATGTTGCCGACCTTTCGATAAGCTGCTATGACTTGTCCCGTCAGGAGGCTGTCATTCTCGGTATTCGGCGCACGTAAACTTCCCCTGCGGACTGTTGGAGACGGTGGATGGTGCTGTGCTTGGAGCTGAAGTGGGTGGGTGGGGGGGGCGGTGGGGGACCTGTTGATAGCCCACCGGCGCTGCAATGGAGGTGAGATGAGGCTTTACTGCGAGCGCTTCTGAGCTGTCCATGATGTCCGTCTGTTCGTCACAGTAATAGCTCTAATGCGCCCCGGTCATTTTTAAAGGAATTAACAATCTGCCTTCCACATTACATATCAAATTAGTTGCTAATGGGGCTCTGTAATTACTGTAAATCATTTATCTGTAATGATGTTTTTTTTTTTATTCTGCAGCAGTCACTATCGCTTTAACATCAACAGGTATAACATATAGATTTCATTAGGCTGCCGTGAAGGGCATATAAGGAGTGCTATACCTATCAAAGGCTTCTTATTAGATTTCAGATGAGACGCTGTCATTTCCAGCCCCATCGTTTTGCAAATCAAATCATGTCATTGGCATCATGCTTTGATGCTTTACAGGCTTCCCCCTGTAGTCGTCAGAAATGGTCTGGAGGCCATGTGTCGCTGCTAATTATCATCAGTGGCTGATAAAGCCTTTTGGAGAAGATTTAAATCCTGCCCTAAAGAGCTTAAGTCCACAAGCAAGGTGCTTGCAAACAACCACGGCCAAGGCCTCGGAAGAGAGAGGATGTAGAGGTTAAATGATGCATGCTGCAGAACAGATGTTAAATATCACATGTTGCTGTGTTGTGCACAATGTGTTTTGTTGAAATAATTAAGATAAGTGTTTTAAAGGAGAAACTTCACCCTGGTTATGTTTAGTCAACAAATATGGTGTCAATTTCTGCAGATACACTGTCAGAGAAAAGTGAGTAAACGCTTTAAAAGGTCACATTAAATCAGAAATCTCCTGGTTTTTTTTGTTTGTTTTTTTCTTGTTGCAGGTGCCGAACGGAGAAGAATGACATTTAACTGAAACAAACAACAACAACAAAAAAAGAAGTCCCAAACGAGAACACTTCAGCTGAACAAGCCGTCAGACTATGATGGAGATCATGGGTAAGTGTGTTCAGCGAGCGGGCCGATGTGTCGACTTGCTTAAAGCCTGATATGTTCCAGTAACCTCAGTTAGACTCTCCCTTACCTCACTTAGACTCTCTGTCACCACCATCATCAGAGGCTTAACAATTAATGTGTCCGGCAACGGCAGCTGCGGCCAGACAGGAGGGGGGTGGGGGGGGGGGGGAGAGAGCGACATGTGCAGGTGGCAGAGCACTCGCAGTCTGGTCGATGGGCAAAAACTTTGTGGTGAAGAGTTTACAAGGTCGTGACCCTCTGCCACATACAATTACTGCGACTGTGGCTTGCGCTCATTAGCGGCTGCTCCACTAAATAAACAAGGGCAGTGTGTCCTGACGCAACCTCGGAGATGTAGCCTTTGCTTTTAAGTGCTGCACATTGGACATCACATCCTCATTTAGCACTATCTTCATAATTTCCTGATTAAGTCTTTGCCTGCCTGCAAAAAGGAACATTTTGCTTCAGGGTTGACCACGGGTGAACTCAAGGTTTTGCAAGCGGGGAAGTCAGTAGCTTTGCCCAGAAATTGAAAAAAGGACAGGAATATGAAAACATTTAAAAAAAAAGAAAAAAAAAAAGAAAATATGAAACTGAAAAAACTCTCTCCAGAAGCCATAGTTCAGAGATATTTGAATTCAAATCCTATTCGCTTAAACCTCCAAAACACAGATTGTTTTTTTTTATACTTATCAGACTGTGGATCAGTTCTGACAGAGGCTGCTATATTGGATTCAAATGATAGATGTTGTGGGGGTTTTTTTTGCAAAAAATGCACTTTGCAAGACTTCAGAAAACGTCCTTGATTTCCTCCGTCGGTCCCAGTTGAGTTTTTGATGTTTTTTTTAAACGCTATTTTGAAAGGTCTGGGGTTTTGTGTCATGGTCTGCCCCCAGTAGTTAGCTACGCCATGTAGAAGGCAAAACGGGAGAAATGCTGATTCTGAATGTCACAAATGATATATACGCCCTCTCCCTGCAGATGCTCAGCGTGCCTTGGAGGCTGTGGAGAGGCTGCAGGCCAAACTGAAGGAGAGAGGCGAGGCCCCCGCGCAGGAGAAGCTCTCCCTGCTGAAGACCGTCCTGCAGAGCCCCCTGTTCCATCACATCCTCAGCTTACAGCAAGCTCAGCAGAAGCCCCCGGCGAAGGTACAGCCTGAGTGTGAGCGCGTGGGCGTTTCGGGTGTACATTGAATGGTGGCGAAAGGAGCCGGAATCGCTCCCAAAATACTGAGCGCGGGAACCAAACTGGATGAGTAATCAGCTTACCTAAGCTTATCACTAAAGCCCTGAGAAAGAGAGAGAGAGAGAGATCGAGTTAGAGAGAGGGAGAGGGGGTGGCAACGCATCACGTCTGGGGGAGTTTTGCAGAAGTCATCTGTAACTTTGCCCATAATTTGTGTAGGCAATATGGTCGCCCGGATTTGGCAACCTGCGGCGGCTTATGAACGGCGCCCAAACAATGACTTATGTGCTCCATGACAATCCTATAACACATGTACATTATCTGTGCGCATGGTGCCGAGACAAATATGGTCACCATCAGGGTATTTAACCTGTTTGTTTGCGGTAACCAGTGGCTTTGTAAGTCTGTTGTTGCCGTGCTGTAATAGGCTAAACCCCAAAAGCACCACAGATCTGCATTATTACATTAGCTGAATGTGTGAGCCTGGAGTCATTCAGCGCCTCTGCATTCCAGGAATACACGGCACTGGATTATAGGAACCGCTCCTGGATTTGTTTTGTTTTTTTACTAGCGCAAGACTCTGGCAAAAAGTTTTCATGAGTTGTAATAAAAATCCACAAAGTTTTTTTTCCTTTCCTTTTGTGCATTAAATATAAGTCTGCAAATCAAAGGAGTGTGCATTTTTGCTCATTAGTATTTTGATAGTGCTCTTGTCTTTTTATTCCACTACTGCTATTTTAACAGGTGTCAAAGTTGTACGAATTGAAAAGCACACGGATCAGAACTAAACACCTTCTGAGACTTTCGCTTTCCACGCCTTCAAACCAGGGGGGAAAAAACCTTATAAGACAAAAGGGATCAGTTTTTGTGGGTTTTAGGGGGGGTATTGAACAGAAGCGTTTTATCTCAGATCCTCGTGTTCCTGCTCTGCTATCTTCTCCCTCCCTGCTCCGTTTTAAAGCTATCTTTCTGTACTTTCTTTTCTTTCGGCTAACACACATTTACTCTCCCCTCTCTCTCTCTCTCCTCTCTCCCTCTCACATCTTTCCTCATTGTCTCACATGCCCCCTCTTTTTTTCCAATTTCTTTATCCTTTCCATTTCCCTCCATCACTCTCTCACCCTCATCCTATTCCTCCTTGTCTCCATATCTCCCTTCTTCAATTAATGTCTCCACCTCTCTATCAATCCATTTCCCCATCTCTTTATCTCCCCCCTCCTTGCATCCTTTCGACCCTCCTCTCACTTGTCTGTTTTTTCCATCCCAACCAATCAATCTCTTTTACTTACATCCCCTCAATTTTTTTTTACACTCCTTCTCCCCCCCATCACTATCTCTCCCATCCCCTTACTGCTCTGTCAGGCCATCCAGGCGAAGGCGGTTTCCAAATCGGTTTCCATGAACTGCGGCCCCTGCCAGGGCCCGACGCTGAGCCTGAAAACCCTGAGCCACAGTGACTCCTACACGTGGGCCATGGAGAACCGACGGCCCAGCACTGCCAGGTCCCACCACAAGGACAGCAGCATCTCCTCTCTGGACTCGCAGGATCTGGCCTTCTCTGACTTCTACCAAGAAAACTGCATTCAAACTGAATCGCAGGTGTGTAAAACATGCGTCATAAAATAAAGGATCGTTTTAGAAGATTGTCGTAACAAGGAGTGATTTATTCTCCTCCTTCCGTGGACCAACCCAGTTTCTCTCGGCTGTTAAATATGACCCATTGCTGTTCTAAATGTCACGTTTTACATTTGAGAGTATAAGATTTCATTGTCAAACTGAAGCACAGTTGGATATTATATCGTCTCAGGGTTTCATTTGATCGTAACAGGCTGCTCGGCTAACTCAGTGTCACTTCAGGTTTGCCTTTGTTTTACACATGGCGTTTCTTTTTTTTAGTACTGCACGCCGCCCAGGATCTCCCGCACCATGTCCATGGGGAGAAACCTGTCTGCTATCGCTCATGAGGTACAGAGTGACTGTGGAGCTGTGGATGTAGATGAAACATGTGTAACACAGCGTGAGTTCGCTCTGTTTATGCTGTTAAATCGGTTTTTGTAACGATTGATTTTCTTTTATTGTGCTTGCTTGCCGAGTCAGAAGCGTCATGTGGAAATGATCGAGCTGATCAACGACGGGAAAGGCCTCGGTTTTGGCATCATTGGAGGGCGCAGCACAGGGGTCATGGTCAAGACGATCCTTCCTGGTGGAGCTGCTGGACGGGTAAATCCTCCACCCACACACCTTAACTGTGAAAAGCTGGTAAAAAAAAAAATCTCAGAATTTAAGTTAGACTAAAAAGTTTGATTCCACTTATACAGAATGTCTGTCCCTTAAATATAGAAACACAAATGAAACAAGAGTCAGGTCACACTGAATGTTTTCCATGTTCTTCAGGATAAGCGTCTGCGGAGCGGGGATCAGATCTTGCGTATTGGAGATACAGATCTGGCGGGCATGAACAGCGAGCAGGTCGCACAGGTGAGGTGTTGTTTGTCAAAATTGTCAAAAGTGAAAGATAAGTCCAGATGGTTTCCACGTCCATAATGGTAATGCATCATTAGGGTTCACAGTGTAAAAGTTACTGCTTTAATCCTTTGAAAGCTCAGTTACTTCCACAGAACAGTTCAGAGAAGCAGAGGTGATTTGTGAGTGTGACTGGTTAGAGTCTTCTCTTTTGTCAAATGAAATACATAGAATTAATAAAAAAGTGTTCATAGTCTCAGTGACGTCACTGAAGAGGAATTTTCAAAGCCCAAATATTCCATATTGGAAGTGCTATTCCAACTTACGATCAACTGAGTAACAGGCGAAACATTCAAGCTGAGGCGGGCCTTAAAGATACAACGCACCCACCTGTCAATCAACTCAGACATGCCCTTCATTATGCAAATGTATGAATAACCTTAGCCTTGTTATACCCCCCCAACAAACACACACAGTCGTTTTTGAACCGCCGCGCCGAAAAACAAAAATATTGCACCATTCTGTTGAATGAGCTCATCATTGCCCCTTGTGGCCATTTTGTGAAAAAAACACTTGTTGTAACTTCTGCTCAGTAGAGCACCTGTGTGTGTGTGTGTGCTTGCCAACAGCATCAGCCTCATAGACTGTGCAAAAGCCACTATAGAGAAAAAAAAGATGCTCCGACTAGAATACACAAAAAAAATCAGATTTGTGATTTTAATGTTTGTATCGATTTGAAAACGTCTCCTGTGCATTCAGTGACACATTTCAAAACGTAGCTTATTCTCTCTCTTTCCAGGGCAGCTGTCTTTATTCAGAGTTCGTGTTTTATGTTTTTTTGTATTCATGTCACACACTCGTTCACGCTTTGATTTGTTCACAAATGACCACCTGGCTCAGGTACTGCGAAACGCTGGTAGCAAGGTGAAACTGCTCATCGCCAGGGATGTAACCAAGGACAACCACCTTTCCTCTCCCGCCCTTGGCCAGGACAGCTTAGACGACAAGGTTTGTCCGCGTGTTTCTGAGGGTGTGTGTGTGTGTGTGTGTGTGTTTGACAGTACAAAGGCACATTAAAATAAAAACAGAAATATCAGATGTTTAATGAGAATATAAATCCGAAAGGTGTGCATTAAACGTTTCTCTCCATGCTTCTCTTCCAGCTCAACGACTTGATTGATGACTACGAGTTCACTGTGCAGTTCACTAAGAACAATCGAGGCCTGGGATTTACCATTTCTAGCTACATAGGTGACCTAAACTCAGGTAATACAATACCCACCAAGTTGTAACTTTATGAAAAATGAGCCAATTATCATCATCCCAGGCTAAGTTTATGTGAGCCACTTGGGAAATAACAAAACTGTTAATAACACCTTCCTTATGTGAGGCATTATTCATGATTTCTGTGACTACAGCAACACTTTCCCAATTAATGCTAACCCTGTCTCTGATTGATCTCCTCTTCAGTCTACAGCGCCGGTGTGACAGTGAAGAGCATAGTGAAAGGCAGCACGGTGGATCAAGATGGACGCATCCACATCGGAGACATCATTCTGGCTGTGAGTTCCACTAAATAACAGAGAAAGGTTTTTAACTGTGCTCTCTGTTGACAAATACCTTGTGTGTTTTTTCAAATATATTCTCTGCTGAGCCGTAACGATTTTTTTTGCAACTAGAAATCTGCACAGTGTGCAGCTTGGAGTCGTTTCATACTCACCAATTAGGGTCCGTTTCAGCTGATGAAAGGGAACAACTTTAGTATTACTTTTACTTTGTTTTAGAAGCAGCCTTTCTTGACCCGTGCGTTCTGTTTTATTCTAGTTCTATTTTGATTACTATTGATTTTTTTATTGTATTTACCTGTACTTTCAGTACCTCAATTTCTTCCAATCTATCAATAAAAAGTTTGCTTCTGTTTCCTTCCTGATTGTTTGTTTTGTTGTTGTTTTTTTCTTACCCCCTGCTTCACCATCACTTGTCCTTTTTTTTTCTTTTTAGGTGGACGGGACGAGCCTGCAGGGCTGCAGTGAGCAGCGTGCCATGGAGGTGCTGAGGAGGACCGCTCCCCTGGTCAGGCTGAAGTTGCTGAGGAAGGCTGTCCGTCTGAGTCACATCCTGCCGCCCGTCCCCCCGCTGCAGCCCCTCCGACACTCGCACAGCTTCCACGAGGGCAATCCCTACAGAATGGGCCTCAACAAGATTCAGGAGACAGGTGCTTTGTGCAAAAAAAAGGAAATGATTGTCTCACTGCGATCATGAGGGGATTGTTTTTGAAGTAAATGAGTTAAAAGATGATTTAACCGTTTTCACACGGGAATTCATCCTGCAACTAATTAACCACAGATGCCACCTGCACTGTCTGTCTTAAATACATCAAATTACAATTAAAACATTTTGTTGATTTCATTTTGCCTGATGATGAACTTAACCACCTTGTGCATGTTCTCATCTCCAAAACGTCAGCTTGGGATTTCTAATCATGATACTCCTTAACCCGAGTGCACGCGTGTGAGCGTTTGGATCTTTCCATGTTTTGCTCAAACACGTTTCCCCGTCTTCCAGGAATCTGCTCGCTGCGTGAAATCTCCCGGCGAGCGGCATATGCCAACAGGCGACCCCGACACGACTCCAGGAACGGTACGCTCGCTCCTTTTTCCCATACTGCACCGCAAGTCTGGAACTGGATCATGGGACTTAAGTCTGATATGCTGATTGGGCTCAGGGAAACGGCAGTGTGGCAGTGAAGCGTGCTCTTTGATGAGAGTCTATTTATAGTGCTGTGCAGTCATGTGTTTATCCAACTCATTCAGCTCATTCCAGATGATTCGTCTCTCTCTCGCCCCGCCTGCATATCTGGCTTTATTTAGACGAGGATTTTTTCAGGCTTGATTAGAGAGCACAGCCAAATAAGCCCTGATTGCTGCGAGGCTTTAATAGATGAACAGGAAAACATTAGTTTGCCAAGACATCACAAGATGGTGGGTTGCAAATGTATGCATGCGTGTGTGTGTGTGTGTGTGTGTGTGTGTGTGTGTATGCGTGCCCCTCTCTAAGTAGATGTGGATGACATCCTGCTCTGCAACAGGAAGGATTATGATGTCTTATATCTTTATAATGCAGAGGTGTTGGTCTCATTTCATTGGCTGATCTAAGGAAAGGATGTGGATGTGTGATTTATCCCTGTGTGCATACCTGTTTGTGTGTACATGTTTATGTGACGTCAGGAGGTCTCTGTGTGTGCTAATTTTACAGGTGTGAAATTGACCCCAGCTGAGGAGCAAAATCTGAGGAATAGGTGGCAGCATGCAGTCGGGCCACGATATGAAGTCATCGTACGTCCGTCTTTAATGAACATTTGACACGGAATGATTATTGATCTGACTTCTTAGAAATACACTCCACATCCTTCTTACCCTATATGACTTTTATCCTATTCCTATGTTTCCCTCACATCCTTTTTTTTTTTGTAACTTTTTTGAAGGTGTGTCATCTGGAGCGTTACGCCGAGACGAGTGGCCTCGGCATCAGTCTGGAGGCCCGAGCAGGTCACCACTACCTGTGCTCCGTTTTACCCGAGGGGCCCGTCGGTCAAAGCGGCAAGATCTTCGCTGGAGACCAGATACTTGAGGTGACCTGCTGATACCCAACCATGATCTGTGCAGGACTAATTATCTATGAGATGTAAAAAACAGATTATCTGCAGTTCCAGTTGCACTTTCATTCAAACAACTTGCAGTGGTTGTTCTTTAAAAGTGTTAAATGTGCACGGCTGTAACCCTGCAATGGAAGTTATCTGTTAGACAATAATTAAGTCATCAGTTTGAGACTTAAACTTTGAACGATTTAAGATAGTTAAAGACTTTTTTTCTGCAGACACAATCTCAATGGCAGTACAGTGTGCAAGTTTCCCCTCCAGGCAACACAAACAGTCATGATATGGTGGGCGTGAGGATGTGTTGCCTCTGTGCATTTGTTCTCATACTGTAGAGTGAGAGCTCGCCCTCCTCCCCCTCCGCCGGGGTGAGTTCGTGCACCCACACGTATCACTCATCATGATTAGCAGTCTGATTAACTTTTTCGACGTACGCTCTTTTTGCTCTCTCTCTATAGAAGACGCTGGATACTGCCTCGTGTGCCCTGCATATCTGTGAGCCCAGCATCTGTAACGCAGCTCAACCCTCTGATCTCTTTCAGATGGCAAAGAGAAGCTATTGTTCCTCGCTGTATTTAAATGAGCCTCGCTCGGTTTATTCGCCACTTTCAGATTTAATTGTTCTCCTTGTGGTTTGATGTACTCCGGTGGCTAATTGCTGCATGATACCCAAAACTGAAACACCACAAAAATATCGACTTTTAGGTCTGTCTCTCCTACACACAGACGGTCATAGAAACCAGATTTCACAGAGACTTAAATGGTCCATATTATCTAACAAAGATTATATGCTATGGCTCGATGTGATGCGGTACCATATGATATGCTATGATACCATTCTATATGATTTTGTACAATACCATACTGAATGGAAAGGTACAATATGATACTGTATGGTATGATAAGATGCAGTACTATGCAACACCACACAGTATGATGCAGTACAATACAGGATTGCACAATATGATACGATGTGGTACAATACAATACGATACATGTGACACTAGGCACGACTGATATATGGTCATATCGATATTGTGGGGAAAAAATCTGATATCCGATATATCGGCCGATATCTTTCTTTGATCTATTTTCTCAGATCTTAAGAGATGGATATACTCAATTATTGTGTTGATCCCAAGCGGCAGCCTCCGGTTTTGAAAAATGAAGCCAATTGGTAAAGTTCCAAATCCTGCAGTACGTTGAGTGTCCACTAGAGGCTGGCTGCAGGAACACCGGAAGTCACATACACACCACAGGCAAAAAAAAAAACAGTTTTTACAGCAGAGATTAACGTGTTTACAGCCTGGTACGAAGAAACAAATATGTCTGATTAGTTGTTGTCGTCATGGGCACACACTGTACGGGGGATTCATTTTTTTTATAACACATCCGCATTGATTTTATGAATGATATGTGTTATTCATAGTTAGGCGTGTCGCTTACATGATTGACAGGTGGGAGCGATGTAACAGTTCGCCAAGAGGCTTAAAACCCGCCTCAGCTCCAGCTCTCAGCCTGTTGTTAGGTTGACTGAAAGTTAGGCTGAGGCAGGATTTCCAACATGGCGGCTGCTGCTGATGAGCCTCCAGAGCCCCCTGCAGGAACAGATGGCTGATCCCTGAATTGCCGTTATCAAACACTTGTGGAAAAGATTCATAATGAAGACAAGATGGTCACTCAACTGAACTGGTGGAAAAATCGAATAATATTGGCGCATATCTGCAATAAAATTAAGCGATACCAATAGGCACTAAATAAGCTAATATCGGCCGAGATTTATCGGCTGGCGGGTTTATCGGTCAGGCTCTATATGATACAATACAATATGCTGAGATATGATATTTTGTGATACGATTTGGGTCATCACTTTATTATTGATCTCAAATGCTGCACACATTTAGCTGCCTTTAACAGAAACACTGATAGTTTCAAGTGAAAACTGTTAACCTGCATCTCTGTGTTCAATCTCAGCAATCACTGGAAATAAATAAAACATGTAATTACTAATGTTTGTATATGTGTTTTATATGCTGTATCTTCATGGCAGATTAATGGGATCCCTTTGATTGGAGAAACTCATAAGGAGGTGGTCCACCTCCTGAAGGAGCTGCCTGTGAATGTCTGCCTGGTGTGCTCTCGAATCGTAGCCCCTGTTATTCCTGACAGCGATGAGGAAGATGACGAAGAGGTCGGTCTCACGCTAAAGGAGCTGCTCGCTGAGTTCAATGACAAGGTGAAGGCACACTGACTGAAGTACCAAAGAGGGGGGAGGGGGGGGGATTAAGCACTAATCTGTTCTCTGAAACAATACAGACACTTTTCTTTGATTTGTTACTTCTACATTTGAACTGAACTGAACCTCTGACGTGCTCTTCTCTTGGTGTTCCCTCCCCTTCCCTGTTTCCCCTCTCTTCCTCCTCTCTCCTCCTCCCAGCTGGACCAGGGTTGTGTCATTCCCTGTCCTACGGCCGAGGACATCACCAAGCGTGGTGTGCCCCCGATGTCACCTCCACTGGCCATGTGGGAGAGAGACGCCCAGGTGGTCGAGCTGGAGAAGGGCGAGTCGGGACTGGGCTTCAGTATCCTGGACTACCAGGTGAGAGCCGTGCCCCTGAGCCTTTCTTTAAATAGAACAGACAGTAAGAAGGTTGTTTTTTTTTTTAAGATTATCACTGCTGGGTTAGATAGGGTGAACATTAAGACAACTTAGAGGCATATTAACCACCACACATTTGAATTTGAGACTGGCAGTTTATAATGATAGACTTGGTAAAAAGCCATGTAGGGTTACTTCTGTGAGACATTTTTAGCTGGTTATGACGCAAACTGAAATGAATTCTGATGCCTTTTTATGAGCTCAAAAAAGCACAAAAAACCATCAGAGCCTAGATTTGTTCTTTCTATAACATGATTTGTAATGTCTGTAAACGCAGCCGCAGGGTAGGTGACGCAATTTGCACTAAGCTGCTGAAACAGCCTTTGTTTACATTTTCTTAAGAAGATTCACGAGGACTGACTTTTTAAACAAAGCAGGTTAAGAATTCTTGACACAAAACTCCACTAACACAGGTGTAGGACACGATCAGTGTAGAGATAATAGGATTACGATTTGTCCACAGGGGGCGCCAAAATCGACATAAACTGAAAAGTTCCTCACAGGAGCTTTAAAAACACATTTGTGTGAAGCCCCAGCCCTGCTCATTCCTTTGACTGAATTGATTCCATTGAAAATATATCTTAACTCGTCAAACATTCCCCAAATATATCCAATAAACTGATGCTCTCTTATTATTTCCAATCTCAGGATCCCGAGGATGCCGCGAGAACAGTCCTGGTAATCCGCTCCCTGGTGCCCGGCGGTGTTGCAGATCGAGACGGTCGCCTCCTTCCCGGTGACCGGCTCATGTTTGTTAATGAAACCGACCTGGAAGGCTCCAGTCTGGATTATGCAGTGCACGTCCTGAAATCCACCGGATACGGCCCTGTCCGCATTGGAGTTGCCAAACCACTGCCAGTATGTAAAGAGATGTTGAGATTGTAAAATTTCCTAGGGCTGTAAATGTATTCATTCTAGCAAGCAGAGGTGGGCAAATCTACATCCAGAATCCAGAGATCAATATATCCTAAAATCATGATGAAATAAATGTGAAAATGTAAAAATAAAGTAGTGTTGTTGTTTTGGTTTTTTTGGCTACTTGAGCACAAGAAAAATCCAGGACTGCTTCAAGGACTTCCAGCTCATTGAATTTCAACATTGCTCACAATGGTGTAATACAACCAGAAGAATCCATGCAATGATTATAATGCTATACATGTTATTGTTAAGTCACTAACAATGGACATATCTCTATTGTTATACCATATACATCATCATATTTCCAAACCCCATACTTTATGAGGGCTTTTATTCTGAAATGCTTCATTATCAGAGGCTACAGTAGCTCAGTCTGTAGGGACTTGAAGGGTCGGGAACTGAAGGGTCACCGGTTCAATCCTGGACTTGGTCTGGTAGCTGGAGAGGTGCCAGCTCACCTCCCGAGAACTGCTGAGGTGCCCTTGAGCAAGGCGCTGAACCCCTAACGGCGCAGGTGCTCTGTCATGAGCAGCTCCCTCACTCTGGCATCGCTCCATTAGTGCATGTCCACAGGATCCTGTTTGTGCATGCGCGAGTATTCAAGCGTATTTGTGTGCAGCATGTCGCAATAACAGAGTGTAAAAGTAATTTCCCCTCATGGGATGAATAAAGGATATCTTCTTCTTTTACAGCAAACTGTAGATACCCAGAAAGTGTTTTTCAGAATTATCTCAAAATGGTGTCAGTAAGATCTGTAGTTACAGATATACACCACTCATACTTATATGTATGTAGGCAGTACAGTATTTCTTTCCCTTTTGTTGTGGACTGTGGCTTAGTAACAAGGTACAGAGAATCCAGTTACAGGCTGTCTGAATTTTTAATGTGGCCTAGAGATGAACACAATGCTCGACCACACCACAGATGGAGAGAGAGAGAGAGAGAGAAGTGGGGGAAGGAGAAGAGGGTGTCTAATTTACGGTCACCTTCTTTAGTCTGTTTTTTGCCTCCTTGTGAATTTACTCACACGTTTTCTTTTTTTTTGTAATCGTCCTAATTTCAATTTTGGATTATTATTTTTTTTCCCCCCCTGTAGCTGGAGCTGTGCGGTGGCTTGACGCCCATCTCTGAGAGAAGCACCCGGGCTTCCTGCGATGACACGGACAGCCACACTCAGGTCAGCCTGCTAGCTGAGGCAGCAGAGGCCAACACCAACAGCTTCACCTGCAACTTTGAGGGCATCGGCGCTGTACACCCGCGTTACATTACAACGGTATGTCAGAAGTCACAAACTGAACAATTATCAAACTTTTGTTCATACTTTCTGACACTTTTTGGTAGAACTACAATTTAATTTACAGACAGTACGGTTAGGTGTTATACTGAAGGATTGTTTAAATTGTAAATTGTAAATGTGATTGTAAATGTCTGTGTGCAGAACATATATCTTAAAATGTGCAATTTTGTTCATTCATTGGTAAACCGTCCAATCCATGCACAGTCATCCAACGAGGAAGCTGTAAAAGAGCATTTGTTTGATGCTTTAGACTCAGCAGGAAATGTCTTTGCACTGACAGTAACAGTTACACTGCAGTAGTGTGAATCTTGCAGTCCATCACACAGAAAGCATTACTCATTATCATGCAGGTCTGACATTCTGCTGGTTGCCATTTTAGCCTCTCTTTTTTAGAGGAGTGTGTCTGTGGCAGTGTATTTTCCCCCCTCTGTCCATGCTCACAGAGTGAGGAGCTTAAACAAGCGGCTGTATCAGTATCACTGGGTCAGGTAGAGAGAAAGTGCTCAGTGTCAAAGACTTGTTCATCCATTGTGGTCTCAACTCAATCCTATTGAGGCGGCCTTTTGTTCTCGCGTTTGCTTAATTACCAACAACAGCCTCTTAATGAAAAGCTCTTACAGCTTTGCACGACATTGGCACCTGGTCTAGCACAAGGACACGCAGTACTGTCCCGATGTCTCCCATACACAGAAAACAAAGAGACTCAGAGCACAGCGGTGTCAGTGTTTCATCAAAGCCGGGCTTGATGCAGAGGTAGCTTAAGAACTTCAGTGCTGCTTGTACTTCCTGTGAAGGTTCAAAGAAGAGACCTTTTACTTTTGGAAGTGCCCGCGGGACCAAAGAAGACTAGCGTCCCGGACGTTTGACATCTCATAATTGCTCCAAAGGCCTTAGCCCAGGAGAGACAATGGTTGGTTTGAATGATTTTGGTGGATGTTCCTGACAACGAATTCCCCTATCGATTAAATACAGACTAGTCACCCAGTCCAAAGTTAAGAAAACACTCACACATTGAAGTTGAAGAGAAACATACCTTTTGTACTTGTTGTTCTGATATGCTTTGTTGTCTTTACACATCGAGTGGTATCACAGCGTCTTCGGGTAAACAGGGTTAAATAGGTTTTGCAAGTGTGGCTAACGTTAGCAGCACAACCACCTGCCTTCAATCCTCTTTGCACGTTAAAGTGCTGGTAATGGATTGTTCTGGTTGATATGCTGGTTTAATCTGACACATATACGACTTTATCTCCATTTTCCTGATCATAATACTTCCAAACCTCTGCACTACGAAATGCTATCAGTCCATTGTGCTTGTTTACATCTGGGTGGTAGAGCAATATGGCAGTAGCCATTAACCGGAGCCATAACCCTGGTTACAGCTTACACACAACATTTGACCAGCTTTGCATTCCTGTACTAATAGAAACATCATTAATAAGTTTAAACCACACTTTAGTTCTTCTCTTTTGTTGTATGGAAATGAATAACATTTTTATTGTGGGTTTTTATACATAATTCTGCTACCTGCAGTGAGGCTCTGTGTATCAAAATATCTGTTTTAGATTTTTCAAAAACTCAAGATTATACAAACAAAAGATAGGAGAAGAAAACAAGCAAATGCAAAAAAAAAAAAAGGCAAACAAAAAGAAAAGCAATAGTTCATTGTACCAATCTGTACCAACATGTTCTGAACTAAGCCAGACGGCTTGGTGGAAAGCCGAAGCCCAGGCGAAGCTTCCCATGTGTAATGGATATAATTGTATATATTCAGAAAGCTGATCTACATTTAAACATGTGGACGTTGGTAGAGATTTGTTTCAACAACTACATTGAGAATTTTCTTGATTTCTTTCTACATATATCCAAGGTCCCTGAAAGCAAATATTCGAATGTCCTTATTGACATTTGGGCTTTGATTATTGTACCCTGCTTTCAGCTAGTTATCGAATTCAGCATGCTAACATCTGCTACTTAGCGGAATTAGCATACTAATGTCTTCTAATCAGCAGATGTTAGCATGCTAACATGGTTCACTAAGATTTTGAACACGGTATTAATTGTATTAAATATGATTATGTTACTTTGTTCCCATTGCTATTGTAGTTATATTAGCATGCTAAAATTAGCATTCTAAAGGTATCATGTATCTCAATGCTGCATCCTACCTGCTGCTAGCATGACTGCCCACTTAACTCCAGCTTTACTGTCGTTGTAACATTCTCTTTCTCACTGACTCCCTCTGACATTTATGTTTCAGGAAAGCGAGCTGCATCGTCGCTTTGGCGTCATGGGAGACAACGATAGGCAGCAGGCGCCACCTCTGCCCCCCCGCACCAGCTTTGAGAGGACAATCACTGTTGTCCGGGGCAACCGTAGCCTTGGTATGTTCTCCGTCTTTCTCGTGGTGATGGTTTCTTGGTGTGTGTACGTCGCTGGCATGGCGCTAATGACTCTGATAGGCGGTGGTGATGAAGACTGCCCCGAAGAGGAATGGTGATGTGATGAGCTTGTTTTATCAGCGAGAGGAGAGGACTAGTTTGTGTGTGCTTGTGTGTGTTTGTGCCTATGTTTGTGTGTGTGTGTGTTTGTCCGAGTGGCTAGTTTGTTGGTCAAAGTCCTGTAAAAGAATAGTCTGAAGAATTTTAAGATGTCTATATTCAATCTAATGCAGAGTTTATACACTAGTTTATACTCCACTGCTGAGAGTACATCCTTTTTACTGCTCCAAGAGCAAGTTTTTCTATTCCTACATGTCTGACAGGAAACAACAGGATCTTAAGCGTTCCTGCTCTTTCATCTCAGAGCACTTTGCAAAACACAGAGGACCCAAGTCATTTGTATTCTGAAAACGTACTCTAATAAGACACCACACTTCTTGTGTGAGAAAGTTTGAAATTATGTAAATGTTTTGCGGAAAAAGAAAACCAAGGTCCTTACCTGCAGTCCTTGTGTCTTTGCAATCTTTAGTATGTATCTGTTTTAAATATGAAATAGGTATTTTTTGTTATTTTGGTGTAGCACGGTCATGTGGAGGTTGAAAGATGTTCTGTGTTTTTGGTTGATTTCAGTGTATAAGAATTCTAAGCAAAAGCTTGAGCTCGGGCTGAGTTATGGTCTTTTGTCTGTCAGGGCCTGGGACTTTTTTTTATTGAGCAATCTTCTCACGGTGAGGGGTGCAATGGATCACAGATCTCACAGTTTGGACCAGATTATGGATTTATTTTGTCACGGATCAGATAGTTTTTTCCGATTTTGCCAAAACAAAAGAAGGTATTTCTTAAGTATTATTTAAAACTCAGAGTAAAAAAGGCTGACATGTAAAAAGCTGCATCATTTATCTTAATTAGATGAGATTAAGATAACACTTGTCTTATTAATGTCCGTTTGCACTGAAATTTGTCTGACATTACGAGCTCAGAAATCCTCACATCCCAATCAAACAAAACACAGAACGTAAAAACAGCACAAGTTACCTCTACAATCACAGTGTTAGATTATGTGTTTAACAAGTTTTCTGTATTCTACTAAAACAGGGAGCAGAAAAGGTCGGGGGAGGCACATGCCGGTTAGGATAGGGGAAGGGGACATGTCCCCCTGTGTGGGAGACAGGAAATGCACAGTCCATCCCCCTGTAATTCCCACTCAGGGAACCCAAACAGGGAGCGTGCATTCTGGGACTAAAGCTTCAGTCTGCAGCCCAACATGGCGCTCTGAGTTTATTTGGCTTAAGTGTTCAGCTACAGAGTAAAGCAGACTGCGGGGTAATGTTACTGACGTTAAGTTTCTGATTGTTATCCAATGACCACCAGCTGATGCATGCATGATAGATGCAGACACGGGGAGAGCGGGAGGAGAAAAGTCAAAGCATCGTGTGACAGAAAGTATTCATACACTTTATAAACACTTTTCTGTCTGCTAGAATCCTGCACAAACACTTTTTATTTTAAAAACTAAATTGTTGTCATGGCTCTTACATGCAATACATAAACACTGCCTCCTTTTCACTCTGCACAGGGATTTAGAGGCTATACTTTTTTTCACATACTGACAATACATTTTCCTTCCTGCTATCACATGCAGTCCAAACTGTGAGGGGTCGTCAGAACAGACATGTGATCCATTGCACTACTAATTGTGGTACAATATTTATTTGCATTATATAAAAATCTTCCAATAATGAAGTGCCATGTCTGTGCTACTATTACTTTATGCTCAATTTTGGAGAAGAGACATGGGAACATGTTCTGTATGAGCATAGATTTGTACATTTGTACCACAACAACTGACAGAACAGATTGTTTAAGAAAAAGGTTTGACAGAATAAATAGACAAAAGAAATGTCTTGCCTTGCTTGTGTAAAAAAAAGATTATTTTAATCTTGAGGTTTTTACTTATATGAAGAATATTGTAAACCTGTCCCACTAAATGTTAGATTATAATATCCTAAAGAGGTTTTATTAAGGGCAACACAATTCTATTTTCATATGACATTTTTGTGTGGAATTTTAGTATAAATAGTTAAAGGTCACATATTATTCTCCTTTTCAAAAAAGTTTAAATAAGTCTCAGAGCTCCCCACAACATGTCTGTGAAGTCTCTTGTTCTAAATCCACTCTGATCCTATATTTGATCATGTCTATAAACCCCTCTATTTCAGCCCTGCTCAGAACAGGCTGTTTCTGTGTCTGTACCTTTAAATATGTAAATGAGCTGTGTCTGACCACGCCGCCTCTCTGGAAGTGCTTGGGGTGGCTCAGGGTTTTTCACTCCATGTCCTATTGTTTACGGTGAGAAGGCAGACTCAGAGGGCAGAACAAACACCTAGCTGTGGGAGGGTCAAGCACCTGGGGGAGGGGTTACTGCCCTTTGTGATGTCACAAAGGGAAAATCTCCAAACGGCCTGTTTGAGCACACATTTTATGAAAAGTGGAGCATGCAAAAGAAGGGGAAGATGGACTTTTCTCATAATTGGGGGGCTTGTAGATGGACTAGAGACATGTATTTTGCACAATATGTGACCTTTAAAGTTTTTGCACAAATGTAAGTAGTAGAGAATACGTATATTTTGATTCTGTGTTATAGATTTAAACAGAAGAGACTGACATCATATCTACTTCAAGCTTCCTCTCGTGTCTTTGAAATGTTTGTCTTATGTTTGTTCTGTCAGCGTCGGTATCTGTGTTCAGTGTGAATGTATTCCATGCACTATGATTGTATTGTAATTTGAATGTAACTCCAAAAAAAAACTACAACAATAAACTATTTATTTAATCAAAGTACCCCATTTCAAAGTCATTTCTTTGACCAATTCAAATTATGTACAACCATAGTGTTGTGGATGTGTTCACATAGTAGTATAGTGCAGAGAGCTATGGACTGCAGGTTGTGTGTGTGTGTGTGCGCGCGTGTGTGTGTGTGCATGAGGTGTGTGCATACCTGTGTGTGATGCCTGATTTACCTGCTTCTGCCTGCTTGCATTAATGAAGTGTGTGTGTGTAATCCGCCTAGTGTCCGACTTGATAATGCCAAAGTCAAGTGTCCATGAGACTGGCATGTGTTTCCCCTCCGCTCACCTGTGCCCTCTGCCCTCCGCGTGTGTGTGTATGTGATTGTGTTTGTGTTTGTGCACCTTATGCCGGTGTGACTGTGAAGGAGGATGCTGTGTAAATGTCAAGCATGTGTAGCCATGTTTGTGTGCTAATCTGCCTAGTGTCTGTCTTGATTATGCTGATTATGCCGCTGTCAGGTGTTTGTTTGGGGCGACTTGTCTGTTTGGCATGCAGTCAAAACAGCCTTAGCCAACCCCTCCACTCACCTGTGCTCGTGTGTGTGTGTGTGCGTGTTGGCAGGGATGTCGGTGAGTGCTATCAAGGACGGCTCAGGCATGCTGGTGCGCAGCGTGGTCCAGGGGGGCTCTGTTAGCCAGGATGGCAGGCTGGGGGTTGGGGATGCCATCTTGGCCATCAATGGAGAACCTACCTCCAACCTGACCAACGCCAGGGCCAGAGCCATGCTCCGCAGACTCTCTGTCATAGGGCCAGAGATGAGGTGAGGAGCCGGCGTCTGTCCAACAGCTTCACATTATGTATATGAGGGTTTTTGTTCTGGGCTGATAAAAGAACAGGTGATCCATATTGTGGCATCACATTGTGACCCGCACAACTCTTATTTGCCGAGCGGCTCTTTTTAATTCCTCCATCAGAATAATCCTCATCAGTTTAAAAAAAAAAAAACCTCTGCGTGGCCTTGTGCGCATTACTCCGTGTGTCGTCCTCTTCACAGTGGCTCAAGTGCTGCTCGAAACCTTCACGTTTCTTAACTGTTGCAAAGTAGAGACGCACAAATGACTCTGACACACCTCATGGCATCATCGAGGGCTGGAGCAGCTTTTACGGACTCCACGCTAGAAAGAGATTATTTGGATTTTAACAAAAAATATATAGAGCAAAAAAAGTGAAGATTTTTCACAGCAGATATTATGACTTCATGTGAGTGTAAAAGGAATCCAATAAGCAGTGAGTATGTTCTTCTTCTTTTCTCTAGTTCTTGACTGAAACAGCTTAAGACACAAGGCCGTCCCGCCCATAAACATGATGTTAACACGGCTCTGACAACAACACAGCCAGCGGGACTCAAGCTTCTCACTCATGTCGCACATCCTTCCTTTAAAGTTGGGAGGAGCTATATTGGGTTTAATAAGACTACCAGAACAAATGATAGAGGTATTGTAAATAAAGCCAATAAGTTTGATCAAAAATACCGGGAAAATGACATCATCCCACCTCAAGTCAAATCTCAACTGAATGTTATGAAACTATCAGAAAGCCATTAGAGGAAATTGAAACTGCTTTCAGATGAGGTTGAAGAGCAGATTTAGTTTGCCATGATGATACTCATCCACTTTTTAATCGTTTATTTTCCGATCAGACGCAGAGCAAAGAGGATGTGGGTACAAGACACGATCTTGAGACTATGCTTAGTTAAATCCTGGTTGTATAAATTCCCATTCTTAGTTTTGATATTTTTAGTGCTTATTTACTTTGTATTTGTTACAATCTTACAATCTTACAATTCACTTAGCAGACGCTTTTATCCAAAGCGACGTACATCAGAGAGTAAGAACAACAGTAATTCATTCATACACCACCACCGAAGCAGCGGGAGCAATGCAGGGTTAAGTGTCTTGCCTAAGGACACATCGGACGTGTTGCTCAGCTGGGGATCGAACCCTCGACTTACTGGTCAAGAGGTGACGACTCTACCAACTGAGCCACAGCTCAATTTATGTAATATTTATGTTTTTTGCTAATATTGTGTGTTTGGATAACCTGCTGCTGTAACGCCACAATTTCCCAGTTTGGGATCAATAAAGTAATTCTATTCTATCTGTAGGCGGCAAAACTACGGGGAATATCTTTCTGAAAAGTTGAAAATGTTCAACTTCACTCATAGAAACAATTGAAAAAAGACGCTGGCACTCAGAAATAAATGTTAAGTGGACACATGGCTTAAGAAATCCAAACAACAGTAATGAACATGAACAACAATACAAAAGGTGCACAGGGACTGCACAGCTGATTTTAAGGAAACAGATTCAAATAAATAGTAATTCAATATTTGAGGGTTTGTGGACACAGTGAGACACGTCTGACTACCTGAAAAATGAAATCTGCAGGTGGTCATGTTGCTGACACTGTGTTATTAAGGGAAGTTTTTAGATTCCATCAAACTTCAAAAATTTGGCTGAAAGGCTTAACCTCTGACACAGAGGCCCTGCAGTAAACGGAGGGTCGTGCATTAGGCCAACAGAATTCAAGAAGTACTTGTGGGAGGCACATCTTAAACAGATTCTAGTCAAATATCAAGGCACTTAGTCAGATTTCATTCTCATACACTTTCCCTCATGCCACAGTTCAAACACGTCTTTGCTTGAGAACTGAGAGAGGCTGAATTTTTCATGTGAGAAAGAATGAAAAAAAAAAAAAAAAAAGCTCCTTCAGGAATTTCAGAGAACAATCAACCACCGACATAAAAATAAAAAAAAGTAATTGAATTGACTGCTCACATTTTCTAGATCTACCCGTGCAGATCTCCACAGTCCGTGTGACTGGAATGAGTGAGTATACAGCATGTTCATTGTAAACAACAAAATAAACGTCTCGTCCACCGTCGCTCGACATGACTTTCACTGCATCTCCTCGTGTTTACCATCTCACTTTGGATCTCCATCACAACCTTGTTTTTCCTTCTTCGACTCCGCAGTCAGAGTTGACTGAGGCGCTGCAGTCGCGTTAAATTAGATTAGATGATGAAATTTTAAAGATCGCCCCCGAGGGAACATCGGGGTAAATTATTACTTGCTCTAACATCAGCAGTTATGGCTCCACATTGACAATGCTTGTTTGGCTGATTGGAGACGTGCCCCACCTCCAACCACCCCTGTCGCCCCTGCAAAACACCCACTCGCTCTCTCTCCACCTCTGTGTTTCTCTCTGGCTTTCTACACTTACACACACACACACACACACACCGACTTTCAATGGTCTAACCTCCAAAAACACCTCTTTTTTTTTTAAAGCGCAGGGAAATATCTCTGAATAATTCATCACTCATCTCACCTTGAACAGTGTGCTTCTGAATAAAAGAGCTTTTTAAAGAGTCTCTCATAGATGCACACACACACACAAACACACACAGACGAACACACACATGCATGCTGTATCTTCCTCTATCATAAGCACACACAGAAAAAAAAAACACTCAGCCGCACACGCTGCTGCCTCCTCCTGATAGCGCTGCAGACAAACTAGCAGAGGAGCAGAGTGGAGGCAGATGAGTTGCTTTGGCAGCCTCAGAATAAGACAGACATAGAAGGATGAGGGCTTGTCACTATCAAACCGCCTCTGTTGAGACAAGACAGGCCGTCCGCACAGCTCAGTCACAACAGCTTAGCGCAGAGGACCTCCATATTCAGTCTGCCACCGCAAAAAAAACGGAACAGAGACATCGGGCTCCTTCCTTTCGGCTGATTTTTCGAGAACCATGTCTTCTGCTCGCGTCACACAAGAATGGAGGCAGGAGGATGGGGGAGGCTTAATGATGTCCTTGACACTTCGGCTAAGTGACATCGTTTACGCCATGGCTTACATAGATCCTGGCTTATGCAAAACACACATTATCATAAATGTTTTTCTTTTTCAGAAACCTCGCTGTCATAAATCAAAAAGAAATGTTTCTCATAGTGACGTTAAAATGAACATTTTTTCCGCTATCTTTTTTTCTACATAAACAAGCGCTGTTGAAGAAGTGGGGCACATCTCTAATGTCAGAGCATATCAAACATTTGACACGTAAGACGGCAGCCTCAGTCCGTGTGTTTCATGTCTTGTAGCATCATTAAACAGTGCTTAGTAAATAATCGTAATGGTGTTAACAAGTGACTCCTATAAATCTGAAACACACATTGCCACCATTAAAATAAAGTTTGACCACTTAAAGCTGAAAGCGAACCTAAATCTGTCTATTTTCATTTTTAAATATTGACAAACAAGACTTTAAACTTTGACGCTTTGGGAAACGTCCTCAATTAGTTTCTTGTCAGGAGTAACTTAAGAAGATGGAAGACCATTTTCTGTTAACCATACAGCTCCAGAAGGTGTTGATGAAGACACATAGAGTTGATAAATGAGCTCAAACACAGATTATATTATTTGTTGATGGAGCCAAGTTGGCTGTTTTTCCCTGCCCAGTCTTTTGGCTAAGCTAGGCTAACCTGCTGCTGGCTGTAGAAGTGGTGTAGTGGTGCCTAAATAAGAAGGTAAACTCTTAGTTTTACCCCTAAATGTTTGTTTTTAAGTGTCCCGTCCAGCAGAGGATAAGCAGCTTCTGTTATAAACAGTGGCATGTAAGGCTACGCCTGCATATTTAGTCAGTGTGGACTAGTAATTAGCCAATTAGAGACAGGGAAGTAAGTGTATCCCGTCTTCATCCATAGGTGAAAAAATTGCGGGATATTGCTGAATATTGTCAATCAGTCATTGGTGTGACTCAGAGGAGATTTAGAAGTAGGTATACTCCATATACCTCCGTATACCACTGCTCTACAGTTTAGAGCCCGACCGATTAATCGGCCAGCCGATATTAGCTTATCCATGACTATGGATATCTAACCAATACATCGGTATCAGATTCATTTATTTTCCAAAAATCCCATATCAGTCGGGCCTTGTTTTATATATCTACTGTACAAAACGGTACGTATCAAGTTAAAACTTTTAAGTCAAATCAGTGGTGCACAAACATACATCTATTGTCGAATAAAGTTATTCAAAATCAAACTGAAGGACGGCTGAACATGTGAAGATGTTCTGTGCATATCTAAGATTTAGCCGATACAGATCTGATATTATCGGCTTGCTGATTAATCGGTCGGGCTCTAAACATTATATTTAAGTATTTAAATATGGATTAGCATTATAGATCTCCTTAAAATTAAATTACAGTTCTAAATCAATAAAAGCAATACAAGTTCTGTTAAAAGCTTTTCGTCTTCTCATCTTTCCCCCAAATTATAGAAAAGTGGTATCAATAAAGCTTCGGGTCGTTACAGAGTCTCAATAATGGTATCAATATACCCAGCCCTAATTAGTGGTCAATAAGCGAAGTAATAAAGGCTTACTTTCCGGGACATGAGAAAACATAACACTATTATTTTGTCCCTCACTGGCAGAAGAAATAGTCCATCAAACCATTCATTTGTCTGTTTCCTTGTCAAAACATCATTCGTATGTTTTGTTGTGCAACTTTGGCCTGAAAGTTGAAGTCATGTCTGTATTTTAATTCTTTCCACCCCGCCCTCACTTTTTTTCTTCTCCCACACCCCCCCTACCCTCAGCGTAACATATGTCCCAGCCCACCAGGTGGACAAGCACCGCAGCCGCCTGTGTTTACCCCCTCTGGCGTCCATCTCAGTAGACAGCACCCCACCCTCCCCTACTCCGGCTGCCCCATCTCCAGAACCTGCCTCGGCCGCGGCCTCGACCAGATCCCCCGGTCGAGTCAGAGCCGCGGCTTTCACTCCGTCTTCATCCGCCCTCCAACCCTCCGCCTCGGTCAAAGCCAGAGCCGCGGCCCCAAATCCGGCCGCCGTCCGAGCCTCGGCGTCCTTCAGCGCTGCGTCCAAAGGCTCCGCTGTGGTCCACACCATCACGCCGGCTCCTGACTCAAGGTAATGTAAAAAATCAAGATGCCCCGGAGTATTATTTATGGTCGGCTAATCCTTACTCAGGCCCCCGGAGTGCGAGATAAACCCGTCTCTGGGTTTATTAGACTTCAAGGCTCCGGTTTATTACATGTTGTTTGCTGCAGAGATTTCACACCTTTGAAACGTTCTACCTGATGGCAGTCGTTTTCAAAGCGTTCACCTCAGGCTTGAGATCTTTTTACAGCAGAGAGCGTTTTATGACTGCAACACATCACATAATTCAATTACCCAGCAGATTAAGTCACGCTAATGATCAGAGTTATTATCTTGCCACTTTAATTAAGCGTGTCCGTGAGGAAACAAAGTGTTTTTCAGAGCGTCTGCAACCAGCTCGGCCGCGAGTCTCTTCCAGTCCATCGTTTCCCCTTCTCCATTCTTCTCCCGTCTCTGAATGTTGAATCTCTCTGAGTTATATTTAGCCGTCCGCTTATGGATCTCAGTGCTGACTGTCAGCGAAAATGAATTGTTTCGCTTCTGTCTGACGCCGCTTTCGCTCCATCTTCCTGCCCTCTCTCTGCCTTTCTCCTTCCTCCCCTCACTCCCATTTCTCTCTCCGCAGCCTTTTCTTCTTCTCTTATCTTTCAGGACATTGTCTCCTCCTCTGCTGGACCGCTCTCTTGACTCTTTGTGTCTTACATCTGTCTCTCATGTCTCTCTCGCTCCCTCGGTCATCTCGCTCTGGTCTTTTTTTTTCTCTTTGCCTCATTTTCGCCCCCCCCCCCTCTTCCCTAACCACGGCCCAATCCCCGCCCCCCTCCTGGCCGCTCTCTTTCAGGCCTGGTGGAACCATTTGTTCTGGCCTCTTCTGTAACTTAACTGGCTATAGGCTCCTGCTGCGCAGATAGCACCACTATCACTCACCTCCACGGGCTTATTACAGCTCTCCACCGTTAAATATATTCATGAAAAATTCTCTCCTTCTCTACCTTTTTCTTCCACACTTTCACACACACACACACACACACACACATATACAGTGTATATATAACAGATACGCTCTCTATATATGTGTGTGTGTGTGTGTTTGTGTTAACACCCCCTCACTCACACAGACATGCACACAAAGACACAACTTTAATGTGAACTCGCTGGCAGAAAATGTGTATTTTCAGGGCCATTTGGAGCTGAAGAAGTGGATCTTCTCAAGGCCCGGCCAATAAAAGTCGTATCTGGCCCGAGTGTCACAGTGGGTCATGACTTATATCATGACCCACTGTGACACTCAAATATTAAAGTACACCAAGATTTCTTGTTATTCGCAGCATTTCCTTCAAGTGTGATCTAGTGGAAGGCCACTTTATTCACAGTGTGAGGGCTTTAAGTAACCATTACTTGAACCAGAGAATAGTCCATGGGATGTTTCTTTGGATAGGTACGATCCTTCTTAGTCTGAAAATGAAGAAGGATGGCCTGGAAACATTTTCCAAAGCTCAAGATGATATCTTCAGAGATGCTTTGGTTCTGCCACTGACTGTACCGTATAGAGCAGTGATCATCAACCTGTGGCCCCGCTAGCCACATCCAGCCCCCCAAAGCTTCCCTCCGTCCCTACAGAATATAATTTATCTCGAGAGGTTAAACGTAACACATCACAAAGCTGAAATACTCACATTAATGGCAGAAATAACATTTCCCCCCTCGACACTGACAGCAGTCAGGCTTATGTCCGAGCATATTTTAAAGTCCGGCCCCTACAGGGTCTGTCAAGAAATAAAGCTGGCCCTTGTACAAATGTAGTTGATGACCCCTGGTACAGAGGAACACGTCGACTATTTCTTGGGCGCTGTCATCTTGCCATGGCCGTCATAACTGCAGTGGCACCTCAGCGTCTGCTGCTGATTGTGACGGCAGCATGGATATGATGATGTTTGATTAAATACGTCACACAGCTGCAGAAGAAGGAACCTTAAAGAGGTGATCTTAACATTATTCAGACCAGGGCGCCGGTTGCATAATATTTCCCCTTGATAGTCCGTCTATCTGTTAATGTAGCAAATACTGTATGTTCTTTTCAGGTTGGGGTCGCTAGCCCTAAGCCCATCCGTCCACCATTTCTGGCTTCTGGTGTGTTTTGGAGTTAGTTTGTTAGTCGGAAAATTTGTAAGAAGTGTTGCACCCCATGTACAACAATACAATAGTATTACAATAGTCCTCATCGTAGCGGCTCTGGGTTTGAATCTGACCTCTGCAGCATGTCGGCCCCCTCTCTCTCTCCTCCCAGCCTTTCCTGTCTCTCTACAGCTGTCCTATCGAAAAAAGGCAAAAATGCCCAAAAAATACCTAAAAAAAAATAAGAAATGTTGTTCATAATCATGATTTTTCTTTCCCCCATTTACCATCACACACATCTAATTATTCTATGTCCCTTTCTTTTTGCTCTCAGTTGGCAGATTCCAAAATCTCTGCCTCACATGAAAAGGCAGGAAGCAAAAGAAGTTGAAGGGAGGTCAGAGGAGAAGAAGGGCGCGCCTAGTGGAGATGTGAAAGTACCAAAGCTGGAGGTAAAGGTGGACGGTCAGTGCGAGGGAGAAGAGGAGCTTTATTCTCATGCGGCGGTATCGTGGGATCAACCCAGAAGGTTAGTGAATCCGTGATGTAAGTATTAAGTCATTCGCTTTTTTTTTCGTCATTAGAGTTTTCCATCTTCTGCCACTTTTATCCAAAACCCTGACCCATGATGTCCTTTGTCCTCCCGCTGCCCCCGCCCTGAAAGGCTTAGCGAAATCCTCGTGTGCTGAGGTTATGTTCACGGGAGGGGTTAGAGTAGCACAACGCAGGACTCAACCACGCTCACAATTCTCTTGCCTGGAAGACGGGCGAATACTTTCACACACTGTACTTATCGCGTTTACGACTGCATCCTGCTCGGATAAATCACATAAGCTGCGCTGCATGCAAAGAGCAGCTTTTGTGTGTCTCTCCCCGGCAGGTATAATAATCTATTGTTTTGACTTAATCTCTGAAACTCTATCCGCAGCCCTAAGCAGAGGATAAAGTGAAAGGAATAAAAAAAAAGGCACAGCCACTGGATTAATTCTCCTTCTTGTGCGTTTCTGCAGTAATGCTTCAAACAGAGTAGAGAGTATACATAAGACATACATTGATCACCGCCGTACACACACACACACACTGTAAGGAGGCTTTTTATTCCCCAGCTCTGGAGTATGTGTGGATGTGCCTCATTTGGGCGCTGTGTGTTGCAGTGTGCGGCTGACTCGAGCGCCAGGTCAGTCCTGGGTATCAGCATAATGGGAGGCAGAGGCATGGGCCGCAGACTGAGCAGTGGGGAGATGATGAGGGGAGTCTTCATCAAGAGCATCAGCCCCGACAGCCCGGCAGCACATAATGGCACCCTCCGGACTGGAGACAGGATACTGGAGGTAGTAGTGTGTGTGTGTGTGTGTGTGTGTGTGTGTGTGTGTGTGTGTGTGTGTGTGAATGTGTGTGTGTGTGTGTGTGTGCGTGCGTGCGTGTGTGTGTGTGTGTGCATGTGTGTGGTAATGCCTTTTCATTCTTGATGAGAGCTTTTGAGCGTTAGAAAAACTCAAAAGTAAGTAAAGCTAAATCTGATTCCGCGTATCTGCTGCATATTGGCATCTGTCTTTTTTTTTTATCTCTGGATGTAGAAATATACTCAACTCATGATGTGATACAAATAGGGGTTGCAAAATTCTGGGAGTTTTCATAGTTGGAAACTTTCCATGGGAATAAATAGGAATAAACGGGAATAAACGGGAATAAATAGGAATTTAACTAAATTGAAGGTTGGCCCTTTACAGGGAACTTAAATATAGTTGGGGATAATGTATTTTAGCATAATCTTGACTAAAACAACCACATTTCATGCAGGTACACTTGAATAGCCATGCTGTTCCTCAATCACATGCACATAGCACACTGATATTACCACAGGGCTATTGAGGCCACGCCCCCTACACGCGCTGTGCATTCCTCCATCACATGCACAGATGTCATGTTTTTGAATTGTATTATTTTGTCATGGATGTCTGCTTATGACGAAACAAAATGTTTACATTTATGCAAGGCTATGATGCAGTTCGATTAAATGACCCTCAATTTCCAGTAATTCCTATAAATTCCCATAAATTCTCATGGAAGTTTCCGGAAATTTACTGGAAATTTTCCACCCCTTTTCCAAAAACATGTTCTAAATATCTGCTCTGTGTGTTCTGACTCGGTCAAGGTGAGCGGTGTGGACCTCAGAGACGCGAGCCACGAGCATGCGGTGGAGGCCATCCGCAGGGCAGGATACTCTCTGGTCTTCCTGGTTCAGTCTGGACAGCACAGATCTCAGGTACTTCAGAGAACAGCCCCCGATAAGCACATGATGAACTCACCTCGGCTCTATAGTGCAGTGTATGTTCCGGTATGTAAACATCACACACACTGTGTCCGGGGATTCTCCCGAGGCTCTAAGGTTCTTACACACTGATTCAGTCTTCGACAAAAGCAAACAGAAGGTTCACTTTATGTTCTGTTGGACTCCATCACAAGTTTTCTGTGAGGTTGCGCGTGGGAGTTTGTAGCTATACGATGTAACGTCCTCTGGACACAAAGCATATAGCATAACATATTTGATGTAACAACATTTGAAGCTTTTTTTTTTTTTGTTTCACAGTGGTATAGATTGTTCATCTGCCTACTCTGCATCTTGTGTTTCGCCCACAGTCCCCTATGCTCACCAACCACGAGAGACTGACTCCAACACCGCAGCCCAACTCCAACTGCAGCAAGGTAACACTGATCCTCCAGACACTTTGAGCTTCACTCTGCTGGTTTCTGCTTTAATAAGACAAGTCAGGTCACACAATGTTCACTAGTTGCTTATTAGCATGCTAATTAGCAGCATACCGGCTGCTTATTGAGCACTTATTAGTTTCATATTCTACATGACCATAGTCTAAGAGTTTACCTTCATCACCCTCCTTACTACGGCTTATTGATAACAAGTTAGGAAGTTAAGGAACTTGAATTGTTCACCTCTCAGATCAACTGGGATTAAACCCACTGATGTTGTAGGGAGATGTCGCTGCAGTAAATGGATCTAAATGGTAAATGGACAGAACCACTTGAGCTTTTATGGCTCCTTTTCTAGTCTTAGGATTACTCAAAGCGCCATTGTCTTGCGTCCTGCTCAAGGGCACCTCGGCCTTGCTCAGGAAATAACTGACCTTAGAGACGCAATTTCCAGATTTGTTCCGCAGCCAGTATGCTACTAATTAGCATGCTAATGGTGAATATTGTGGCCGATAAACATTTATAATTATAATACATTTTATGCTTTTTAAGACACTCGAAGACACTGTACATTAGTTGAAAATAGAAAGATCAAGACATCACCATAGACAGTATAGTACAAACTCACTAACATAGCAACATTACATACAGCACATACACGACAGCAACCAATGACCACACACAATCACACATTAAAAGTTTGTTTAGAAAGGTCAGTTTAAGGATGTGATAAATCCACTCCATCCACAGGATTATGAAGGTTAAGTAAAGAAAATGATGATTATAATATATTCTGTGCGATGACGTCAAAGAGCAGTCGTCTGCTTTTTTTTTGTTGTGTTTTTTTTTTTTTTATAAAGTCGTGACCGCAGTTTGAGGAGCAGATGACAAGCTGTACAAATCGTTTTTTCTTTTGTCCGTTTCTGTTCCCACACGAGCTGATGTTTGGCTGTGTGTCCTGTATTGTATAGAGAATCTTATGTATACGCTATTGTATATATAGAGAGAGATGAATCACTGACACCCACAGGGCATTCCAAAAAAAAAAAAGATTTAAAGAGGAAGACTTGTGTTGGGTGGTGATGATGTGTGTCGTCCTCTTATCTGTTCTTCCCCCTCCTCCCCCCCCTCGTGATTGTAGGAATCAGAGAAGCTCAGTGGTCTGTTCCTTAGTCTCTCCCCTACAAACCCCTTCACTCCCACCCCCTTTAAGGTCAGTACAAGTGTGTGTGTGTGTGTGTGTGTGTGTGTGTGATATTGTGAGTTTGCAGCATCTTTAAAAAACCCTTGCATTAGCATTTGCACTGAGGGCCAACTTCCAAAAACTTAATTAACGTGCATATTTGTAGATAGAACCCTTGTAGTTCAAAGTCCCTCGCAGCTACCTTGTTTGTTTAAGCCCTTTTGTTTTTCTCTCTGGTGGAGATGCCTAACTCTCTAAATAGACAGCACAGTCGTTTGATGTTATTTTTCCCCCCCTGCACTTACAAGTCGGATACAAAATAATGCATGATTCTGGTCATCTTTCATGTTATTTTTAGCCGACATTAAAACTGTGTTCATTAATTCATCCCGTTCATCAGTTTTCCCCAATGCTACATCAAGCACGCTGAGCAAAGCCTCAGGGGTAGTCCAACTCCTGCCTGAAGGACCCCTGAGGCATCCCCAACTCCTGCCTGTTCAATAATGCAAAAAATGTCTCCCAAAGGTACCCTCGCCGGCGTCGGAGAGGAAGCATCGGAGGAGCCCCATTACGGTCACGACGGCAATCACAGCTGCGGCTGAAGACGAGGACGACGCCGGCAGGAGTGAGTCTGCACCATAAAGATGTCCGACATGCACACACACACACACACACACACACACACACACACACACACACACACACACACACACACACACACACACACACACACACACACAGAGATCCCTCAAAGCCCCTTTAGCGATTAGAAAATTTAGTGTAGGGGCCCACCTTTCCACACACATCCATTATAAAAGACAGAGCTGTAATACTGTAATAAAAATGTCAGCTGTGTCAAACACAGTCAGGAATTACTCTGTGAGTTATCACAATGACCAACAGCATTTAATAGTCTACTATTGAAAGTCACCAAGAGCCATATGAGCAAATGATTTTCATGCCATTCAAATATTAAGTCGACCTTGTTCTTGTAGAGCCCGTGTTCAGTTGTATGAATGTTCATCTTTTAGAATTCAAGTTTTTTTTTTTCCCCCGGCATAAAAAATTTAAAACTCCTGTGAGAAAGTTTTTAGCTGGTTCTGAAAGAGTCTGAAATTGATGCTGATATCTCTGTATGAGCTGCAAAAACCAACGAGCAGTATAAATGGACAGGTTCTGCATCAAAATGTAGAATCTGTACACAGGGAGCTTGGATTTTCAGCATGTTTTTTTGTTAGCGGGACGTTTGTTGTCCGAGCTGTGTTGACCAGTAACGCATCAGAAAGCTTCATGAGGGAGAAACAGATATCTACATAAAAAGTGCAGTCAGCAATCCATTAGAAATTACATTTTAACCAACTTCAGCCACAAATCTGCTCGACGCTGCGTCATGGCAGCCGTTCAGCGTTCTGATTACCAAAAAAAAAAAAAAAAAATTGAAGAAGTTGAAGAGGAGTGGAACTCGATGCAGAATCACCTCCCACATGTTTTCAGTAATTGCCTCGCCCAAGTCGTCCTCCTATCTCATCTCTATATTTTTCTAAAGAGGAGGGGCGCAGTGAAGGGGATAAGAACACATATTACAGGACTAGAACCCTTTGTACATTGTGTAGGTTTCATGGGTGGGTGGATAAGAGTTCAGTCTGGAAGGTTGGGAAAATCTGGGTTTCTATTCTGGAGAAAACTTTGGATTTGCCTGTATCTAAAGAAGTGTGATTTACAAAGTGAATATTTTTATGCTACTACATTCCCTATATACATGTCTTTAAATGATCTGATAATCTTGACTTATTTCCTTCTTACAAATCCGCATCATGATGATGTCACACCAGCAAACTTTATTCCCTTCAATTGCAAATACATCAAAAGAAAAATCTGATTATTTTTCTTGCTCCTACCGCTGATTTTGCCCAAATAAAGGCTTTATATGTGATTTTTCACACTTAAATATAATATAAATCAAGTATATCCTCTGAAAATAACTCTGTGAGTCATGACTGTCTACAATGGGTGTAACACCCGAGTCCCACTGTCTGTGATGTTTCCAGAGTTTTCAGAGTCCTATCTTCAGTTTGTTTACATCGCCCCGGACGGCCGGCTGACTCCTCCCCTCGTGTATAAAAGTTGTTTAATTGAGGGACTAGAGAAAAGAAGAATAACATACTGTACTCACTGCTTAACTGTGTTTCTAGATCACGCTCATTTCAGGTAAATTTACATGCAGTGTGAAGATACCAGCATAATAAAGATCGCTAGCATTAGCATGCTAACACAACAATGCAGCACATGTTGTTTTGGTTTCATGCTGGTGCTCAAGGGCGACATCTGCTGGATCAAAAAATTGCATATAAAGCCTTTAACATATTGTACTGTTGAACCCAGACTCAACAGATAAACGAGCGTGATAAATAAATAAATAAAAAAAACAACTCACAACAACAATGATCAATTAAATGTAAGTCCTGCAAACACACACATGTACATATGTTAAAGCACACAGACAGGTTGACAGGCGTGCACACACATGGATTCATTAGTGAGCACTCAGGAACCCAAACACACACATTTTTCTCTTCTTTTTTTTTTTTTTAATGATGCACACTCACAATACTGTCCACACTTTAGCTTTCACATGTGAGCTGAATCCAGTCACTCTCTATACGTGCCGTATTCCAAAAAAAAACATAGACATCTGTCGACATGACTGACATCATCCCTTCCAGACAAATTGCAGCAACACACACACTCACACAAGCTCCTCTGGGCTGTGACGCCTCGTCTCCGCCTGAAGTGTCAGTCATTACGTGTAGCTTTTTCTCCTCACTCTTTCTTTGACATACCCGTCACATCTTCCTTCCTAACAGCCCCTCATGTTTGTTAAACCCTTAGCTCTCCTAGAAAAGATGCTCCAGCGTTATGGCAGCCTGTCTGGGAAGCTCCATATGATTGAGCTGGAGAAGAGCCCCGCAGCACAAGGCCTGGGAATCAGCCTCACGGGGAACAAGGAGGATTCGAGGGCCCGCATGGGTGTCTACGTGGCAGATATAGACCCTCGAGGACCTGCTGGTGTAGATGGCAGGATATGGGTTGGGGATGAGCTACTGGAGGTAAGGCGGAGATGAACAGATTGGAGGGATTTTTTTTAGTGGTGGAGAAGGAATGCAATCCTAGAGAGACAAAAATATCAGATTTAAAATTGAGAGCAGCATGAAGAGAGCAGTGGGTTGTGGGTAGGAGGAGGCATGGATGAGTAGACAGCGTTGAGCACCAGCACAGTAGATTTATCAGACAAATTACCATTTGAAAGATGGCTGGTGCTGTACTGGGTTTCTTACAACGAACAAACCATGTAATAGAGATGATGAGGGGAGAAAAAAAAAAATCGAGAAGCCTCTGGCGGCAGCAGCAGAGAGAGGGGGAGGGGAATTAGAAGAAACACGGCAGAAAAAAACGATGAAAATGTGGGGAAAGAGTGAATACAAGAAAAGCAAAGCGAACAAAAAAGTGTCAAGCAAAACTTGCCCTGATCTTTCTCTCCAGATCAACGGGCAGATCTTGTACGGCCGGAGTCACCAGAACGCCTCCACCATTATCAACAACACTCCATCCAACGTCAAGATCATTCTCATCAGGTGACATGGAGAGGGGTCTGGTTGGTGGAGTTTATACATCTCATGTTTCTTCTTCTATTTCTTTATATTAATATTTTTTTTCTTCGTAGGAATAAAGCAGCTGCAGGTCAAACCCAGGGATCCAGAACAGAGTGCGAGGATGAAGTCGACTCTGCACAGCGTGGAGGATTATCCAGAGACATCCAACACATCATCTTACCTCAGGTGCAATACCTTGGCTTTGTCTAGTGTCTCTCCTCCAGCTGCTCTTATCTAACAGCTCGAGCAACTGGTTAAGAAGAAGCAGACTTTCACCATCACAAAATACACGTAAATGAGAATATGAAAGACCTTCCAGCAGGGGCAGATCCAGGTTTTTTAGGGGTGGGGGGGTTAAATGTGGGGTGGCCACAAATCATATCCATGTTATCTTCCAAAATAAAAGCATCTGCAGGGTTCCTGCAGATCCTAAACATTTGAAAATGTAAGGTCATTACTTGAAAAGAAAAAATCCCGCGCAGCACTCTTGCTAAGTTTCACCAGTTTGTTAGAAAAATCACAATGTTCTCTGAACCTTTGATAAATGTCGCACACTTGAAAGTAGTTTAGGATTTTGGGGATGGCACCAGTCCTCTCTTGGCACAGATTCCCCGTCATAATAAATGTATTAAAGCGAAGACAAATTTCTTATATGAAATAAAACGTCTTGGTTTAAATGTTCGATCTGCGTGTTTTCTAGGACCACGTCGGTCTCGGCATCTGCATGGCTGAGGAGGAGCCCAAGGACGGCGTGGTGGTCAGGTCCCTAATCCCGCACGGCACTGCCAGTAAGGTGTGACATCAGAAGCATCCTCCACATCGTCATCAGTAACATGAATACACCTTCTCCCAGAGGAAGCTCATCTCCTGGGTGTAGCCTGCATGAATCACCACCTGTTCATTTATTATTGATATGCAGTCGTTGTTTTACTTCAGGAGAAGAACTATTCACTCGTACCTGACAGAAATCCAGTGGCCCCCTGTCAGAGTGCTTTATTGTATTATCGGATTATTACAACGGAGACATGAAGGCATTAGCACCTGTAATGTTTAATCTGCTTCAACTACTTCATCTATTGGACAGCCGATATGGTGCATCTTACTTTCTAAGCAAGTAATATTCAAAACAGTGCTCTTCATTTATACCTGGGACGTCCTTCCTGACATTTAGAAAGGATCTCTGCACACAGGAGACATGATTCTCCTCACTGCAGCAAAGAAAGATCTCACTAAGAACTGGCTAGAACAATAGCTGTCAATCAAAGATGGTATCCCCATGATGGAGAACCTGCAGGTAGAATATGAACTCAGGTCACTTTAACAGAAAGGCTGGGGAAATAGTAAACATAAAGAACAAAAAAAGGACAAAAGCAACAATACTTTTTATGTAGGAAAAAAGCGTATGTTTAAACGTAGAGTCTGTAGAAATGTTTGTCACAGATTGTAAACACAGCAGTCAAACTGGGCCCCTCCTCCTGGGCTGATCGCCCCCAGAAGTGCATGCCCACTGCCGGGTTTAGCATGCACGTTTACAGCTAGTTGAGCTCGTATTAACAAGGCTGGAAATGAATGCAGGATTCATGATGAATGGATGAGAGACAGACAGAGATACTACAAGTGTGTTAGTGTTTTGCATGCAAAATGGAGAACATTTTGTAGCTTGATTCAGGAAGAATGCTACAATGTTTATTTTTTCCATCCTATCCATTATTAAACTGCTTTTTCCTGTCCTGGGTCGTGGGGGGGCTGAAGCCTTTCTCAGCTTTCATTGGGTACACCCTCCAATGTTCTCCAGTCAATCACAGGGCTGACATATAGAGACAAACAACCAGCCACACTCACATTCAAACATGTGGACAATTTAGAATATCCAATTAACCTAACGAGCATGTCTTTGGACTGTGGGAGGAAGCCGGAGTACCCAATAATCAAATAAAATCAATAATTAGACCCCTTGACCCCTTATGGGTTCTGGACCTCAAGGTTGGGACAGCCTGTTATCAAGAGTGTCAACTTGGTGATTTTTGCCGCTCACCTCATCCTTCTCTGCACCTCAGAATGATTTTTTTCAGCACACAGGTTTGCACACGATTTCATCATATCTTTGAATCTACCGAGCCTCATTCTCCTGACTGTAACTTTTGGGATCAATAATCAATCAGACTGAGGGTTGAGAATGAGCGCCACTTTACTGTACCTTTAAGGCAGCCGTACACCGTGCTGTAAAGGCCTTAGCTGATCAGTATTTTAGATCGTATTTATACCAGGTTAACCTTCAGATGGTTTTTGTCATGTTTGTAAGTGATGTCGTCATGTAGTCATACATTTTTCACTTGAGGCCCCAGGCAACAGTTATTCCGATGTTTTTTTTTCCAGAGGGTGTGTGTTAGATTTTTTAATGTCATTCCTCTCCATCCTTCTGGTGCACACACACTTCCAGCGTTGTGGCTCATCACACATTTAATTCATGTCTCTCTCTGTGCACGTAGGACGGCAGGATGAAGGCTGGAGACAGGATCATAGCGGTGGGTGATGAACCTGTGGCAACGCTGTCATTGGACAAGGTATAAACACACACATGCGCGCCCCCCCCCCCCTCCTCCCCCCCGGACAAGGTCGAGCTAATTTAATGATTTATGACTCACCTGTCTCTTCTGTGCTCAGGTGTCCAGTTTGATTCTCAAACACCAGGTCACTGTCAAGCTCTCCATCTGCCGCTCCGAGAGTCTCCCCTCTGCCTCTTCTGCTCAGCCTCTCCCGTCGTCTTCGTCGGATCCCCGCTCAGCTCCCTCCCTCCCCCTCCCCCTCCCCCAGCCCGTCGTCTCCTCCACCCCGTCGTCCCTCACTTACATGCAGACTTCTCAAACTGGACAGTCAGATTCACAAGCAGCAGGTGAAACGTCCTCAGACCCGCTGAGCTGCCCGGTTGTGGCTGGAAGGGAAACCATCGTAGAGATCTGTAAAGGAAGCGTGGGCCTGGGTCTCAGCATCGTGGGAGGATCTGACACTCTGCTGGTGAGAGGAACACATTGATTTTTTAAAAATTTCATCAACTAAAGTGACATTTTTAACATTTTTGTTATGTTTGGTTTTTGCAACACCTTCCAGGAAACGGGATAAAATCATACTCATAATTCTATCAATACAGAATATAATTTTAAATCCAGATTTCCCCCGTCCAATTAGGCAGTGAGAGTTCGTGAAGGTTTTTTATCCAAAGAATATTTCATTTTCAGTGAGAGAGGTGATTTGCTTTTTAGTGGAAATTACTCATCACTTTGTGTGCGTGGTAAAGCCTTGAGAGCGCCATTAAAAAAATAAATACATTTTAAAAGTGAACAGAATTTCTTCATGTTCTGATATTTTTTCCAGGGCCCCCTGACAGACAGAAATCCGCCTTTCTTTTCCAACCTTCACATGGCAGCCCTGTGCACATGTAAGCTTCTCTGTAATAATAAGTGTTTTCTGATCCCTCCACCAGGGGGCAGTAATAGTCCATGAAGTAAATGATGGAGGAGCAGCACAGAGAGATGGACGGCTGCAGGCTGGAGACCAGATTTTAGAGGTATTATATACACACACACACGTTGATTTATTTAACTTTATATATTTCAATTTTTAGAATATATGCAAACCTGTTATGGTCTTTATTTTTTTATTGTCAGTATTTCCCACAGATGGTTGGTCAATCTGTGGTGGAGGGGAGGGGGAGGGGGGTCCCTGTCTATTTAAAGTGTTATAGTAAATATATTACTCACATGTCTCTGTATTAACAGCCATCTCTCGCTCTTTCCTGTCAGGTAAACGGTATAGATTTGCGGCAGGCCACTCACGACGAGTCCATCGCCGTGCTGCGGCTCACCACCCAGCGCGTCCGCCTCTGTGTCTTCAGGCATCAGGAGACCTACAGGGAGGAGGACCTGTGGGACGTGTTCGGCCTGGAGCTCAGGCCTCGTCCCGGAGAGGGACTAGGGTTCACCACTGTGGGGAAGAGGTAGGACCCTCAATGAAAAATATAAAAAAAGACACGCACACATCCCCTCAGTGGGTGCTGGATCCAAAAGGGTAAAGAGAAGCAAAACAAAATCCTCCAGAGGTTTGAATCTGGCATAAAATATTCACTTTGACTCAAGGATGAACTTAAACGAATTTAAAGGTGAAGAGTGGATGTGGAGAAGGTCGCAAATAAAAAGTTTTCGGCTATAACTGAAGAATTCATTCGCTACTGGTGTTTTCACACATGCACAAAACTCCTGAAAATTCTCCCCACATTTTTGTGATAAGCGCAAACTGCCAGATTTTTTGCCCCAGAAATTTTCCTGCCAGCCCTGTCATCAAAATTCTGGGGAAGTCAGGGTGAGCTAGTGTGTGAACGCAGCAGGAGATATTCAGGAAACGTCACAACAGGTGGAGTGGAAGGGGGTGATGACCTGTTTGATCTTCGTGCGTTAAATAATGATGCTTAATACTTTTTTCCACTTATTTGTTGATATCAACAAACATCTTGGATGTCTACATCATGCTCTCAGGGTTCCCACTCGTTCTCGAAAACCTAGAAAACAGTTGACTAATTTTCCAGTACTGGAAAACACGTGGAAAATGACAGAAAAAGTCAAATGTCCTGTAAAATTACTCCAACACTCTCCTACAGAGTTGGTAATTTTCACCTCCACACGTTAATAAAAGTCATGGAAAATGATCTCTGGAAAAGAGTGGGAACCCTGTGCTCTGCCTCCTCAGACCCCCCCCCCCCCACCTTCTTTGTCTGACAGGGAAACTTCACACTGTGGGGGACATACAGTATGAGATACAGCAACCCAGGGAGATTTCAGGGGCCTGACAATTTCTAACCATTTTCAGGAGTGCATGTGTGAAAACGGCTTCACTGTGACAGAAATTCACATGGAAGTCTATTGCAATTAAATGATGCACTGATGGAGTTCTTTTACAGTTTTTGTACTGTATCATTGACTCATCAGAGATTATCGACAGTATCAAAGTATCAGAGAATACAAAGAGAAATAAATGAAGCGTTCTGTAGAATCAAAGGTGTAGAACACACACCCACACTCGTGCACCCATGACCACATCACCCCCCTCTTTCATCATCTCAACTGGCTCCTCAGTCCCCAGCATATCCACTTCAAACGTCTTATTATCACCTACACAGCCCTCCACAACCTGGCTCCCCCCTACCTGTCTTTACTCACTTACACCCGCACTCTCAGGTCTGCTGATGCAAACCTCCTGTCTCCCCCCCTGCACCACCAACCATCGGTCCTGGGGGGACGGGGCCTTATCCCAATGCTGCTTCCAACCCCTGGAACTCCCTCCTAAAAAACATGACAGACTCCCCCCTCACTCCCCACCTTCAAAAAATCCCTAAAGAACTCCTCTCTTCAACATCGCCTACAACCGCTAACAAACTCTGTTCTCATCCTCCTTCTCTTCTTTGTATTGTTCTCATTGTTTTGTTTCGTTGGTCTTCTTTGTTAATATGCGATTTTTTTGATCCAGCAGATGTCGCCCTTGAGCACCAGCATGAAACCAAAACAACTCGCGCTGCATTGTTGTGTTAGCATGCTAATGCTAGTGATCTTTATTATGCTGGTATCTTCACACTGCATGTAAATTTACCTGAAATGAGCGTGATCTAGAAACACAGTTAAGCAGTGAGTACAGTATGTTATTCTTCTTTTCTCTAGTCCCTCAATTAAACAACTTTTATACAAGAGGGGAGGAGTCAGCCGGCCGTCCGGGCGATGTAAACAAAGTGAAGATAGGACTCTGAAAACTCTGAAAACATCACAGACAGTGGGACTCGGGTGTTACACCCATTGTAGACAGTCATGACTCACAGAGTTATTTTCAGAGGATATACTTGATTTCTATTATATTTAAGTGTGAAGAATCACATATAAAGCCTTTAAGCATCTTTGAGTGTACAGAATAGCTCTATGTAAGTCTAATGTAAAAACAGCTGTAGACTTCCTTTAACAAGTATTACATGAGGAAAGTGTCCTCTGTCTCCAGGCGGTTAGAGGTCAGTGAGTGGGTAGCAACAGGGATCATTATTGTAAAAAAATTCCTTTACTTCCTCCTGTAATCACCGTGAAGGTCGGAGTATCGGGCCACAGGGTCACCCTGCCAGGAAGACATGTGAGGCATTATATATAAAGAGTTGTCACGCAGCTTCATACGTTTGCACAATCAAGTGTGACGCTAACATACACAGGTCACATAATTCCCCTCCAAGCATGGAGACGACTCAGCTTCTGACCTCTGTTTCTTCCAACAGTAATGACACGGGCATCTTTGTGTCAGATGTCATCAGAGGAGGCGTAGCGGATTCAGATGGCAGGTTGTTGCTAGGTGACCAGATTCTGTCAATCAATGGCGAGGATGTACGTGCGGCATCACAGGAACATGCACAGAAGCTACTACAGGTATGACAGGTTTCAAGTTTACTCACGCAAAAAAGTGTTTGTGTAAAGTTTGGATTGTGGATTCATCTCGTGTGTTTGATGGGTTTTGTTGTCAGAGCTGCAGCGGAGCGGTTCACCTGGAGGTGGCTCGCTTTAAAGCCGGACTGCAGTACGCACAGCGGAGTCAGGTAAAGAGCTTCCAATGATTCTCTGAGTCTGACCCACGAGGCTGCTAAATGTACCCTTTTTTTTCAACCTTTTTCTCCGTTGACTTTTATATTATTTTCAATAAATCTGCTAAATTATTTTACATACAGTGTGCAGTTTGTCTTCTTTTCTTCTGCATAACCTCAGCTATAGTACTTTCTGACCTCAGGACTACTTTAAGTTGTGTTTTATCCAGAGCGAAGACTCCGACTGTTCCACCCTGACCCCCTCGAGTGGATGCGACACTTTTCTCGGCCACCAGAGGGAGACAGACAACAGAGCTGGGAGCTGCTGTGAGTCGACTCATGACCAGACATTATGATGCTTAGAAATACTTGAAAAATGGGACTCGAGTTACAGACATTTTAGGATTCTATTTTTAGTGAAAAAAAAAGAATGCTGTTCACATCTTGAAGCTTGTTTTGTAAAATGCCTGTATTTTCCCTCTGACAGCATTTCAAGACTGCTCCGGCGTCAGAAAAGTCATAATAAAAAAGGTAAGGTATAAAAGCTTAAAAAAAGAGTGTGTGCCATATTTCTGAAGACACTGACTTCCTGTATTGTAATATGTGTTTTCAGAAAGTCCTTAAAGCTACTTTTCCCTCATTTATAAAATCTTGACTGAAAGCTCCTCACCCATTCAGACCCCCAGACTAACACGATATCAGGTGCACATCCTGCCATGTGATTCGTCGATGTTGTCCGTAATGTTTGTGTGATATCCCCACAGGGTCCGTGTGACTCTCTGGGCATCAGTGTAGCAGGAGGAGTGGGTAGTCCCCATGACAACGTACATCTTTTCATCGCTACCATGGATACCAATGGACTGGCTGCCGAATCACAGCAACTGCAGGTGGGGAGAGCTGATATGTGAGGCCAGACGTGTTAATGTCATCATCACATTGTAAAGCTGACCACATGTCTGAGGGGGAAAAGTCAATCTTTGCAAGATCGATCATCCACTTAAGGGCTTGATACAAAAGAAACAGTTGGAGCAAATCAAAAACTGGTAAATGGACTTGAGCTTGTGTAGCGCTTTTCTAGTCTTCTGATTACTCAAAGTGCTTTTACACCTCAGGTCACACCTACACATTCACACACTGATGGTAGAGGCTGCTATGTAAAGTGAGCATCAGAAAGAATTAATCACATTCATACACATTTATACGCCGACGAAGCAGGGAGAGCAACTTCTGGGTTAAGTGTCTTACCCACACATCGGACATGTTGCTGCAGGAGCTGGAGCTCTCCCTCTGTTTTCCGACCTTATCTAGTGTCCCATGTCTGTAATAAAAGGCATGAAAAGAAAAAATTAAATACTTCTAAAGTGAGTTTGTATGATGTACCCGGGGGGGGGGAGGCTCAGTGCTCTTTAAAGAGGACGTATTCGCCCCCTTTCCACCTTTTCAAACAGTCCCTGTGGTCTAAATGAAACATCTGTGCTGTGCTTTGGTCAAAATATAACATGAATCAAGCACCAGAGGAGGTTTGTGACCCTGTATAAACCAGCGCTCTCAGAACGCTCCGTTTTGGTGTGTGTGTCTCTTTAAATGCAATGACCCCTCCCCCCTGAGTTTTCCTGGTAGACATCACTCCTTCGCTAGGGAGAATAAAAATGGCAGACCTGCTCAAACATTTTGTTCTAGGCTGGGGGTGGAGTCCATGGGTGGAGATATCAGGAGAGGGGAGGGTATTTTTTTTTTTTTACCAGAATCCCACTGTGACATCACAAGGAGAGCACATTTGAAACGGAGCATTTTTCTCTGTGATGTAAGACTTATGCAGACCACAAACAAAGGACTGGATGGGTTTATCTCACATTTTGTGGGTTAGTAGACTCTGAGGTTACCCAAATATATGTTCAAAAACACTGTACAAGTCGATTTTTCACAATTTGTCCCCTTTAAATCAACCACAGGTCTGCAAAAATATAGCAGTTCAGTTCAGTGTGTGTGTTTGTCAATCAGACTGGAGACCGGATCCTCAGCATCAACGGTGTCTCCACGGAGGGAATGACTCATGTCCAGGCCGGAGTCCTGCTGAAGAACGCCACCGGGACCATTAGCCTGCAGGTGATGTCACTGGGGGCGACACGTTGCAGTTTATCTTTAGTGGCTGTGAGGCTTTCAGTTACCATGATGTCAGCAAGTTTTTGAGTTCTGCGCTGTCACAGAAAGGCAGTAATCACCATATCCTGCCTCCTCCTCCTCCTCGTCTCCCTGGTACTTTTATAAAACTCGCAAGGACATCATTTTTACAGAAATGCAGCTTAGACATTATGTGTTTAACTTTTCTATTTTTTTTTTTTTGCATGTGAACAGTACAGCGGTAATTTGTCGCAAACGCATTTTAACGAGCCTCTGGGAAGATTTTGGCTGTAACAGAAATTTGTTACAAACTCGATGTCAGTTGGTCTGACGAGTACATTTGTGTAAAAATAAAAAAACAATTTTCTGTATTTACAATTTGCAAGCATGACACAGATATTACAGGAGTAGGAGTTTAAAAATGTGTTTTTGTATTCCCACAATAACACACGTTTATCATTGTGTGCGTGTCTCTGTGTGTGTGTGCATGTGTGTGTGTGTGTCTAAAGGTGGCAGCAGGTTCTGGTGAGTGCAGCACAAAGGAGCGCAATGATGTGCATGCCCGGTCGTCAGGCCAGCCCAGCAGCCTGCCCTGCTCCCACAACAATCTGTGGTAAGAATCCGTTTCCTGACAGTCTCCTGCTGTCGTTCCCTTCGGTTCCCTCCTAGTTTATTCACTGAATCAGGAGAAAGGCAGACTTAATAAGTCTCCTCGACAATAATGAGGAAGTGCAGCCACTGTGTGAGTAGACATGGGACAGTGGGACAGTGGGCCAAAATAAGCTCTGGTTGGTGTTTTTGTTTTTTGTGTGTGCATGTGTTTCTATTTGTATTTTGATGTATTTTCTATTTATTTATTTTTTTAGCTAAAGTTACCTGAGGCCAAATGTCTTTTGTTTAATTCTAATGTGAAAATGTTTTTTCTGTTTTGGAAAACTTAACTAAAAGAAACATTTGAAGAAGCTGTGAAATTTCTTATTCTAATAACTGACATTAAAATCCACTTTAATTTACACACCTGTGTTAAATACTTGATTCTGATTGGCCAATTACGCATATCAACAACCTGCTCACTATACATTAAACCTTACATAACTTCAGATAACTTATTCTAACTCTGCATCATTTTTCATCCAAGAAACATCTTTATCAGACTTACCTCTGTTCAACTTTTTATGTGAAAAAAACTCAACTCAATCCAGCCCCAAGGTTAAGAAACAGTTTTTAATATTGCACTCATGTTCTGAGAGTCGAAACAATTCTTCATTCCTCGTATTAAACCACAGAGCACATTAGCTATTCTCCTTCCTGTTCCAACCTTTTGTATCTATCCTGCTGAGATGAGACACACACACACACACATATAAAGGTATTTCAGTGTGGAAGAAGTAAAAAGACTCCCTACGCACCAGCGAGCCCACTAACTCACCTGCATGCTTTTACGTTGTATTTCCACAGCGCTCGCATGTATAAGACCGTCACTCTGGAGAGGGGATCCTCAGGCCTCGGCTTCAGCATCGTCGGCGGGTTCGGCAGCCCGCACGGCGACCTGCCCATCTACATCAAAACTATCTTCAACAAGGTGAGGGAACTTTGTCCAGGGGGGGGAACATCTTTAACAAGGATCCTGGGATTTAACAAATCTAATCTCAGCACAGCATCAGTTCAACTGCAGTGTGTGTGTGGATTCATATCATGAGACAAGAACACACAAGTTGGAAGACATAACTATGAGCTGCAAAATGCTCAAGGGTTTTTTCAACACCTTAGTTGAAAAAAGTAAATAAAGTGTAGAAACTGTCTTAAGCAGTTTTCACATTTGCACTCCGGAGAACTTCTTGAAACTTTCTGGCAGACTGGCCCTGAAACTTTCCTGACTTTTTTTTGTTCGCACATGCACCTCTCAGCAGGAGACTGTTCCTGTTGAACAGAAGAGGCAATAGGGGAGACTTGACGTATAAAGAACAGTGCACAGAAGAACGTACTGGTGCACAGAAAATTTAGTGAAGTTGTTTCATGTCGCAGGATCTAATCAGAATCAGAATCAGAAATACTTAATTAATTATTAATCGCAGAGGGAAATTCGATCGTTACAGTTGCTCCAAAATATACAGTATAGCAGTAGAAATATAGTAATAAAAATATGAATCAAATAGAATATGAATGTAAGTAAGATATCAAAAATAGGTACAAGAAATATTTACACGAATAAGAGTCAGATGGAATATGTACACACATATTCAAGATTATTGCACGGTTTGTTTCAATATTGCACTTTGTTATCATGGACATATTATTCATTATTATTATATTGCAGTTTTAATAAATAATGAGTTATGGTGGAGGTTACAGTTTTTCATTTATTTTATTCTATTTTTATTTTCTATTTTTTCATTTATTTTGTATTTTTTATTTTTTATTTTTTATTTTTTATTTTTATTTTATAGTCCAGGGTCAGACGAAGTGTTTGTCACTCAAAGGGAGGAGTTATACAGTTTGATGGCCACAGGCAGGAATGACCAGGAATGTGCTCCTGAAATCCTCACTACCCCCTCCTGCTCACTCACAATGAATTTTCTTGAATATTTCCCTGCTCTGTTCTCACAACAGTCCCGGCTTTGCACGGAAAAATTTACTAGGGGTGAAAATAAGACCAGATTCAGCTGTTTGTGTTCACACATGCTGATCACCCCTTAAACTTCAGGACGTTCTCAGGAGTTTTATTCAAGTGTGAAAGCACTATTGGGTTTTTTCCCTTTAAATATCCTGTAATGGGGTGCTTGGTCCTCCAAGCGGGCGGCCCAGGTTCAAATCCACCTGTGGCTCCTTTCCCGCATGTCATTCCCCACTCTCTCTCTCTCTCTCCCTGATGTCCTATCTCTCCATGAAAGGCACAAAAAAGCCCCAAAAATTAGTCTTTAAATATCATTTAATTTTCTGGGTGAGCTGCAAGTGTCAACAGGTAAAAGTCAGGAAAATCCACTGCTGGGGAGCGTGCAAGGTGATGACCTTTATGACATGCGACCAGTGAGCAACTGGTGCGATCATCATGCATGTAATACTCCTTCATACTCTTTTCTGCTCACCAGTATGTTCTTTTGCCACATTGTTGATACTGTGAATGCATCCAGTAACACATAGCTTTGATATAAAGGTAAAAACAGTCATTGTAGCATTTGGATATCTTTTCAATTTAACAGTGGCAGCATCCTTTTTACCTGATATCCTTCCTCCAGAGCGACTCTCTCATCCGACACGCTGTGAGGGACATGTATGAATTAACAACTTTGTGAAATGTCCAGAAACGTTCAGGAGTGCGTGTAGGAAAACAGCAACTGTTGCTTTAATTGTACAAACAGCGTGTGATCTCTGCTCTGCACATGCTGACTGTCTGGTCTTTGTACTCTACAGGGGGCGGCCGTGGAGGACGGCAGGCTGAAACGTGGAGATCAGATCATCGCTGTGAACGGACACCGTCTGGAGGGTGTGACGCACGCCGAGGCTGTGGACACCCTGAAGAAAACCAAGGGAACTGTAGTCCTAACTGTACTCTCCTGAGAGACAACCCTAAAAGTTGTGTCTGCTGTCATTACGTCTCTTCAAAGTCTTAGCTGCCTTGGGTCAACCTGCTCCGCACAACTCTAAAAAGGACAACGTTGATGGTTAAAGTTTTGTGTAAAGGAGTAGATGCTATATGTGTTAATGTTTTTATTATTGGGAAGCTACCTCTATCTGCAAACACAGCCTGGGTGTGTTCACACACACACACACACAGTATTCCTAATATGAACCCATAGGCTGTTAAATAAATGTGATGTATGAAGTGAATCTCCATATCACAACCCTTTAATCATACACCAATAAATCACCATCATTAACCTCTGAATATGCCGACCATAGAAACACCTCTGAAGACACAATGTCACTTTTTCACTTCAGTCAGAGTTAACTACTCGGATAAACCAAAAATGATCAAAATCAGAATTGCCAAGTACATTTACACTGTATACACTATCGTCGGCGTGTCAGTGATGTCACCTGTTGTTTTTTGAGGAGGAGTTTTGAAGCTCACAGTGGTGGGCGCTAATTGGAAATGCTATTTCGACTTAATTTTTGATCAATCTAGCTAGATGCAAATAAAGAGGCGGAGCTGAGGCGGAGCTGAGGCGGGCTTTAGGCCTCGTGGTGAACAGCACACCTGCCTGTCAGTCAAATCAGCCAAGCCCCTGATTATGTAAACCGTAATCCGGTGTATCAGACGCCCTTTTAATACCTATATTTCATCTAAATAGTTGGCTGTGTCGTATACACCTGTGTGACCAATTTACCAGAATAACATGCTGACACATTACCGAGAGTGCACACTGCACGTGAGGCGACTCGACTGAAGTGTCATCCCCATTTCATTGTGGATTGCGAGCTGTGCTGGGACACACAGCGACACAGACCAGGCTGGCTGCGCCATTTCCTAGCATCTTTTCTCACTCCATCGTGCATTTAAAGCAAACGGTGACATATTATCCAGTGAATAAAACTTGTGGAGCGCTCTTTTGATCGAAACACTCCTTTATTGAAGTCAACGAGCGACCAGCGGAGTCGGGCAGCGTACCGAGCTGACGGTGCTTCACAACTGTCCCCACAGGCTGAGAGCTAGCAGGAGTGCAAACTTCACAAAGTGAAAACAGACGGTAGTAAATGAGCGACACAGTTGTACACAAACTGCACGTTGTAGATATCCCTGAACACAATAGACATCATCAAGTAGACAGTTAAAACCTTTTTTTTTTCTTCTGGGTAACCTACATACCAGAGCGACTTATATTCCAGTCTTTACGGTAACTCTTAGCCTTAATCAAATCATATAAAATAAAATTCACCCCCTGTGGAGTGTGAACTAATAAAAAAAATGAGCTACTCAGAACAACAGTTGTTATTTTTTTAACCAGGCTGTAACGTGTTTATTCTGCTGTCATAATGGGCATTTCAAGAAGGGTGTGATGGGGACTTCCAGAGGCTGCCTCAAGTGGACACTGGAGGGTCTGCAGTTTTGCCCAAAACATGCCAAGTGCTTCTGCCAATCTTTTGTATGGCATCGAGTTTTTGGAACATTTGCTTTGAAAGATTATGTAACTCTCATTACTCTCATATTCTTCTGTTTTCATGGTTAGTAAATGATAATCAGCGGTGATGACCACCTTATGTTAAAGCAGGTTGTTACATCCGTTAATAGCAGCTGCTCATTACAGTCACTGTAGCGACTGATTTATTATCTATCGGTTTTCATTCTCTTTAGTTTAAAATGATGTATTTGTAGAACTTCAAATAAGTATTGTTAAAGTGTTACATGCAGTCTTTACCTAGAAGACTTCTCATAACGGTTTTATATTCATTTATTTATACTGTTTTCCTCAGTTATTTATTTCATTTGTGTCAGTACTCTGTAGTCCTAAGAAGAACCACACCTGCTTGTTTGGTGTTGTGTAATGATGTATAACTGTATGTACTGTCAGTGATCTTATTAAACGTCCAATTTGGTAGAGTTTTCTATACAGAAACTTTTAGCTCCAGACTCCTATGATTCACCCTCCGCACATAAAGCCGGCGTGAAAACCAGCAGTGACCTTAAATATGGTCGTGTTTGAATGCGGGATAACAACAGACCCAGAAATCCTTCTTGTACTGTGTTGCTTCTTGATGTCTCTCTGGAATAGCACTTAAAAGGATTAGCCAGTGGATATCACATTGTTTGACTTTCAAAGCCCACAGTTGCAGCTCCCCCCCCCCCCAAAAAAAAAAAAGAATTGGAGAAAAATGTGAGATTCCTGAACTGTTAAGCAAGGACTTCTGTGCCTGCAGTTATACTTTTAAGGATAGATGCAAGAATTTATTTTTGCATATTTTTGCATCTATAGTTCCAAACCAGTGAGCTGATTTTTTTTTTTTTTTTGCCTTGAAGATGTTTTATAGTCATGGTTGTGCTCTTTGTCTCTCGCTCTGCTCGCCCGCTCGCTCTTTTCTCTCTGTCTTTGTCAAACATGAATACATTTACGGGATCACTCAGGTTTAGTCAAGGTGGCAGGATGAAGTGGGCGTCTTATAGTATATCATGGAATGACAGGACGGCGATAAATCCCAGCCTGGGAATTAAAGAGTGACAACAAGACAGAAACGGAGAGGAGGATTAGTTTAGAGGAGTAAATCATCGCAAAGAGAGAGAGAGAGACAGAGAGAGCTGAAGAAAGACGGCAAAAGTGGGAACAATGATGTGTTCAACCTGCAGGAGAATGCAGTGAGAGTGTACACCTGGGTCTTGTTTTTTGTTTTTTTTGTCTTTTCAAAATGCACAGTACTCTCACTTTTAATTACTGGATTTTCCTGGTGACAACTTGACAAACAATAGATTTGCACACAAATGTCTCATTTATGAAAATAGGAGGCATCTAGGGAGATCCTGTCTGGAGCCTCCGCGTTAATCAAAGCCATCTGTTCACATTGCAAGCTTTATTGAAACCCTGCCATCACATACCGGTTTATCCCTCTCCAGATGAACGACTGCCTCGCAGACAGGCTGCCATGACGGCAGTTTTTAAGAGAGTTGGTGTGCATTTAACCAGAGTGTTACCTACAGTATGAACGTTTAGTCCATTCAAACAAGCATTAGAGTTTTATTCTTCACAATAACAGAACCATTTGACATGTTTTTTATGCTTTATTTGATCTTGGATTTCCACACAGCTCTTGTGGGAGTAGATAAATTGATGTGCCTTTTTTTTTTCCTCTCTTGTATTTAAGCAAGGAAACTGATCTGCTGGTTTTCACAACCTCCCCTCAAACATTTATGAGAACTATCAGAGAACCGGCGAGCCTCAGAGAACCTGACCTTCTCTGTGTCCACACAGCCCGTTCTTTTTTCCTTCTCAAGTAAAAAGCAGGGCCCTGGGGTGCTGGTGATGCAGTGGTTAGTGCGCGCTCACTTTCTCGCTCTATCCACGGTCCTATCTCTCCAATAAAGGCAAAAAAATGCTCAAAAAATAAATTTAAGTCTACTGTGGACACAACACTGTCTTGCATTTTCTGCAGGTGAAAGCCAGATTATTAGAGCACACTTGATATGAAAAGCACAAACTATTCTCTCTAGGGAGCGTAACAATGGCCAAATGATTGTTCTGTCCATATTAATATATCCGCAGGACTTCCCCTCTGCTGTCAGTGTAGCCTGCTGGTACAGGGAGAACAGTCATCTGATGGTGGATCCAAAAAAAAAAACCCTTCTTCCTCCCCATCCGCTCCCTTGAGATTCTTTTTCAAGGTACCAGCCTGCCATGCAAAAAAATGTCAATCCTAAGTAAATCAGCCCAGTGCTGAGTCTTATAAAATCCTGCTTTTCTTCAAGCAAGTTAAAAATATTCCTGCAGTGAGATAAAGCCGCCACTACACTGTGGTTTGAGTAACAACCGTCATTTTAAATGTCACGTCACCACTGAGAAAATGAGCAGGACTGAAATTGTTTTTGGCGCAGGAGGAGAAAGCAACGCTCACAGTATACGTCTTATTCTGTGTGAAAGCCTGGAGCAAGAAATAATTAGACACAGTCGATGCTACATCATCTTTTTATGAGTTTTTAAACCACTCTAACACAAAAACCTGCTTGTCATAATAGATTTCATTGCTATGAATGCAGATGCAGAATTCTGACTTTTGTGATGTTAAAGCAAGCAGTTTGTTTTGTACTGCAGCATAGATCATACATTGTTAGGCCGGAGTCACTTCTGAAGTAAAAATGCAATCAGAAACATTAGGTGTGTCTCGTGTGCAGCTCAGATCACTTAAAGGCTTTATGTGCGATTTTTTGATCCAGCAGATGTCGCCCTTGAGCACCAGCATGAAACCAAAACAACTCGCGCTGCATTGTTGTGTTAGCATGCTAATGCTAGCAATCTTTATTATGCTGGTATCTTCACACTGCATGTAAATTTACCTGAAATGAGCGTGATCTAGAAACACAGTTAAGCAGTGAGTACAGTATGTTATTCTTCTTTTCTTTAGTCCCTCAATTAAACAACTTTTATACACGAGGGGAGGAGTCAGCCGGCCGTCCTGGCGATGTAAACAAACTGAAGATAGGACTCTGAAAACTCTGAAAACATCACAGACAGTGGGACTCGGGTGTTACACCCATTGTAGACAGTCATGACTCACAGAGTTATTATAGAGGATATACATGATTTATATTATATTTAAGAGTGAAGAATCACATATAAAGCCTTTAACTTAACTATCTTAAGTTAGACATGGTGACCCGGTGGTGGGCGATTTCCCGTTTTTACCATCTTACAAAACTGCACAATGAACAGTAAAAATAGCAACATAAAAATGGTGCTCAATGGAGCGCACAACATGACATGATGCATTTTCCCAGGTGAGTGTTTTCCCTTCCACGCCTTTCACCTAATGAGCCATTTCACTGTTGCCCAATTAATGGTGAGAAAGTTGCTTTGGTTGTTTTTCTCTCATATTTTGATGTAAATCTCTTCCCAAGCCATCTTAAATAAGCCTTTTCTTATCCCTGTTACTCAGACTATCCTCTACTATCCTCTACAAGTCACAGTCTTGTCCTGCATCTGTGTTTTTACCTTATTTTAGCACTTTCTGGCGTTTTTTTCTTTTCGCTGGTGGGCGTGGCTTTTACCATATGACGTCTTTTGCTCTCCATCGTGTTGCGCTCGCGCCAGCCTAAGCAGGAAGAAACAAACTGTGGTAAGGCAGGTTAAACACTCCCTCTCTTACTGTATGACAAGCAGCAGTGAGGCGCTCTGTTGCTGTTCGGACATGACGTCACAGGCTGAGCAAAGTCCGAAGTAAGAGGGAGGGGGGAGAAATGTTTGCTGGTTGCTTGCTCGGTCGCAAAACCACTTTGTCACTATTACTTGTGTCAAGTGTTTTGCTCATAGACTAATGTTGGGTCTCTGTAAAAAATAGCCTATATTTCAAGGAGTACAGCCTAGACCTGCTCTGTCATGTAAAGTGTATGGATATAACATTTGTTGTGAATTGGCACTATGCCAAAAAAAAATAAAAAATCATTGATTGTAGTTAGAAAAATATTATGCATGAGACTCTTTACAAAGTCTTGTAGCCTCAGACTAAAATGTTTTAGATGTGAGTATGTGAAACTTTATAGTGTTTAAAAAATATATTTCCTGTGTTTCTTTTGAATGTTGCTTAGTTTTTTTTACCACGTTATCTCTGGAGGGCTTCAAGTTGAAGGGGTACCCAATTCAAACATAACACCAGCAAACAAAAGGACCCATCTTCATTCTTTTTTTTTTGATTTTTTGGGGGCTTTTTATGCCTTTTTATTGGAGAGATAGAGTTGGAAATCAGGGAGGGAGAGAGAGAGAGAGAGAGTGAGTGGGGAACGAGATGCGGGAAGGAAGCCACAGGTTGGACTCAAACCTGGGCCACCGCCTCCATACACCAACCACTGGGCCACCAATACCCGGAGAAGGACTCATCTTTGAAGGTGAGTAACTTACGCTGAGAGAAGCATTGCATGATTTGACCACATTTTGAAAGAAACACTTGGTGGACACTCACATCAAACTTGTAAAAAACAACAACAACAACCTTATGATACAAAGGGGGAGGGGGGCGAACATGACCTTGATCTGATACAAAGGGGGGCGAACATGACCTTGATCTGATACAAAGGGGGGCGAACATGACCTTGATCTGATACAAAGGGGGAGGGGGCGAACATGACCTTGATCTGATACAAAGGGGGGCGAACATGACCTTGATCTGATACAAAGGGGGGCGAACATGACCTTGATCTGATACAAAGGGGGGCGAACATGACCTTGATCTGATACAAAGGGGGAGGGGGGCGAACATGACCTTGATCTGATACAAAGGGGGAGGGGGCGAACATGACCTTGATCTGATACAAAGGGGGAGGGGGGCGAACATGACCTTGATCTGATACAAAGGGGGAGGGGGCGAACATGACCTTGATCTAAAGTCCTAACTAATTGCTTTAGGCAGCTTCTCCAACACTGCCTCTTTTGTTTTTCATTAATTGAGCCAAGTGGTGACATTTTCAAAGCCATTGTTTATTTAGTGGGTTAACATTGCATTAAATCCTTTCTGAAGGTGATATAAATAATGAGCGCTGTTACTTGTAAGACAGGTGAAAAGGCTCGATGATAAAGCAGTCCTCATAATCACAGGTCATGTATTCGTTGTCTTTATTTTGATGCGTCAACACTGTCCATGTCTCGCTCATTTTGACATGATTGATGACCTTTCTGCAGCAGTATATTTTGGTCTTTGGTGCGTAAAATGAACCTGTTCCTATGTCACTGTGGCAGTAATGTGTTACGTCCACACGGGGGCGGTGTGTGTGTGCTGTTATCAACACTTTGACATTTGCATGTACTTGATGGGACTCATGGATGAGGAGCAGCATCGCATCCAAGTTGTTTGATTTGCTACTTGGCCTCAGGCTTTAGACGAGTGAATGTGTCCCTGCAGTACAAAAAAAAAGCGTTTTTGTCCACTTGTCTGTGGTCTGTCTGTGGAGTACAGCGAGCCTGTGACAGGAAATGAAACGACTGAGAAGAAACAAAAAATATCCAACACTGTTTGATGGTGACCGTATGTCAGGGCTATTCAACGACATTGTTTAGGAGGCCAGATTTTCAGAAAGCTAAGGACCCGGGGGTCAGACAAGAAAGCCCACCACAGCAGTTTTTTTTCCATCAACAACACAAGCTTGTGATAGGCTGCGAGCACAGGACCAAAGATGTTCTATTAAACAGGAGCGCAGTGCTGTTTTTAAAACTTTACTGTGGCAACGATGACAATCAATTTACAAATCCCCCACCCCGTTTACAAATGTATATTTTAATTGTAAATAGATCTGATGAGCAGTCCAGTCTGATGTCATCCGCGGGCCGGAGTTGGCCCCTGGGCCGCCAGTTGAACAGGCCAGCTGTACGTCTTATAGGTTAATATACTCTCCCTACACAGAAGCATCCACGACATGTTATCACTGTAGGAGTTAAATAAGTGGTACTGGAACATTCCCCTATATTGTCTGCTAAAAGCTATTTCCTCATTCTTTATAAGAGGAGCTCCTCCAGGCGGTCTTACCTCTTGACTTCTGTCTGATCTCTTTTACCTTCGGTGTTGAAAGTTGCAAAAATCAGAAAACAAACTCGGGGGGTTGAAAGCCAGTTCAACTTTATTAGAAGAAGTAGGGGAATAAAAAGAATTTAGAAAAAAAAAATAAAAAAGAATGCAGGGGTAATATTTAGGCCTGGCTAGAGCGGAGCGGATTCAGACGACAGACTGCGATTTGTCCAACCTCCGGTCGTCCTCTGAGTAGCGCCGGAAGGTCTCCCCCAGCAGTGGCTCCAGGGCCTCGGACGAGCGGTAGGAGCGGGCGCGCAGGGCACAGGCGATGATGCCGCCCACCACCGTCACCACGATCACCGCCCCAACAATGGCAATGGTGATGATCTCAGACAAAGTGAAACTAGGAGCTATGGGGTTGGAAAACAGAGAGAGAGAGAGAGAGAGAGAGAGGAAGGTCAACAGTGGTTTTTAAGTTTTTTTGGTTCTGTGGATGTTTTTTCTGATACTCACATGGCCATTCAACCTCGTAGGAGTATCCCAAGTTCGCTGGGGCAACGACAAACATTTCAGCGTTGGTAACAGGCGGCCAAAAGGGAACCATGTTGAATCTCCTATTGTGCCCAATCGGAGCGTTCTCCTCTGGGTAGACTACTTGACCTGCAGGATGAGAATAAGAGATATATATATAAATCTGTTCATCAGTCTGAGCTACCTTTTCTGTGTTTTGCATTTCAGCTCGACGTGTGCGGACCTGGTTGGTGCCTGCTGAGCCACTCGTCGAAGATTGCATCTGTGAACGTGTGCAGCAGGACAAAGATGGGGTCGTTGGGCGAGAGGTGAGTCTGTCCTCCTGTCCCGTTGAGGAAGAGGTGGGCTAGGTTGTGGAGGCTGCGGATCACCGGGTCATATGCGCCCTGGGGTGCGCTGTAGCCTATAAAATATAAAACACAAAACACAAAATCAAGGCCAATTTAATGACAGCTATTGGTTTACTTAAATTAGCTACAACAAATGGGATGTGGGAGCAAACCATATGTGCATGTGGGTGGAGTGTCTAGTTTCTTGCTTTGTGTTCATATCTTTGCATTTCCACAGTCTCAGCAGCTCTGTTGTGTAAGCAGCGTCCCACTGAATGTGAGTGATACTAGCACGTTGTTTTTCGGAGGATGCTCAATGTTAAGTGCTGCATTGATTCTGACCCCATGACGCATCACTGCGGACCTTCAATAGTGTTCCTGAAGCTCTCTGAGGAGGTGGAGTAGAAAGGCGGGGTGTCAAAGGTTTTGAGCTCCAGACAGTCCAACACGTCCTTAGGCTCCGGCAGCCGCTGCACCATGGGCCGCGCCACGTTTCCAGCCGGATTCCTCCTGATGGGAGCGGTCTCGGTGCCTGAGCGATGCAGACACAAGGTCAAGGGGTCAGACCATGATATTATCTTCATTTGGAAGAAATACGTCTAAACTCAGACATAAAGACACACAGAGATTACAGTTCAGACTCCACAGGAAAAAGAAAAAAAAAGAGGATTAGAAATGTTGTATTATTGAACGACTTTTCAATTCTACATGGAGGCCTAGACTAGTTTGATCACTCGAAAACATGACAGGTTGGCAGTATTCCTGTTTCAATAATTAACAACAAGTCAACAGTTGTGAGTGAGAGCTCTGCGGCTGAGCGGAAGCGTTTTCTCCCCCCTTTTCACTCGCCTGATCTTCTCTCTCTCTCTCTCTCTTTTTTTTTGTTCTTTATTCTCCCACGTGTACACAAACACACACATAGGCGCCGCAGCGCACAAACAGAACGGGCTACATGTCAGAGTTGCCTGTCTGTTTGAAGATTATACCCTCAGATCAAAGGAACCAGTAGACTGCTAGATTCCTGTCTTCGACAAGCACAAGCAGAAAATGAGGCAACCCTCCCCTAACCCATTTAAGGAGACGTTGCTTGTTGATGCAGGAAATACCAGGCCTGTCATGACTCTCTAAGGGGATTAATGAGACAGATCACTCACACGTTAGCTGCTCACATGTTCTACCTGTTCCCCAAAATTCCACCCCCAGCTTTGTTCTCGCTTCAACGCGATTGTTCTAAAAGAGCACCCGCCGCCTTCGTGCAAAGCTGATTGGTAAGGTCCGGCTTAAAAATCACGGTTACACTAAGTTGCCTTATTCTACTTTTAAACTGCTCGGCCTCGCTGGGAATTAACACTTGAAACACTAATGCACGTCCTGATGCCTGCGATCGGGTCGTTTATGCAGCTGAATGAAAAAAAAAAACAAAAAGAAGAAGATTGGAGCGTGTGCAATAGTTTGGATGCACACAGCGAGAAGTGGAGTAGTTTCAAACAAACTGTAGTAATCGCAAGCAATATCCAATGCAGCACAACAGCTGTGAGGTATTATTTATAGCAGCTTATGTTCTACATGCTCCCTTTATGAGCTCTTTGCCCTCTTTTTCCGATGCAGCTGAGACAACGCCGTATATCAAAACGGCCGTGCTCTCCGTGCAACAGTGCCGCCGTGCCTCCGTGTTTATTACTCCTTACTGTTGCAGATGGTGCCCAAAGTGTCGTAGTCCTCCACGCTCTCGCACACCACCCTCCACTGGGAGAACAGAGAGTTGGAGCTGATGGAGTTCAGGTCGAAGGAGCTCCGGGCGCCCATCAGGTCGTCGGTGCAGATGTCGCACTCGCTGCCCCCGATGGCGAAGTTCCAGTAAGGCAGGGCGAAGGTGGGGTTCCCCAGCATGTTCTGAATACAGTGCAGGGGATGAGGGGATGAGGGGATGAGGGGATGAGGGGTGTTCAGGGACGGAGCGATGGAAACATGTGCATGTAAATATAAACATCAGGGGTTGCAGTATCATCTCTGTCTTCCTCTCTAGTATTCTATCGTCTTTGCTTGGATCGCTACTTTTTTTTTCCACCAGTTCTTTGAATTTTTTTTACTCTTGGGGTGCTGGTGGCTCAGTGGTTAGTGCGCGCCCCATGTATGGAGGCTGTAGTCCTTCAAGCGGGCGGCCCGGGTTCGAATTCGGCCTGTGGCTCCTTTCCTGCATGTCATTCCCAACTCTCTCTCTCTCTCCCTCTCTCTCCTTAATTTCCGGCTCTATCCACTGTCCTATCTCTCCAATGAAGGCACAAGCTCAGTGGTTAGTGCGCGCCCCATGTATGGAGGCTGTAGTCCTTCAAGCGGGCGGCCCGGGTTCGAATTCGGCCTGTGGCTCCTTTCCTGCATGTCATTCCCAACTCTCTCTCTCTCTCCCTCTCTCTCCTTAATTTCCGGCTCTATCCACTGTCCTATCTCTCCAATGAAGGCACAAAAAGCCCAAAAATAAATCTCATCTTTTCCCCCTTTTTCCTCCATTTTTCCATGATAGCTTTGCTCTGTTTCCTCAAATCCCCACACTCTTTGATTCCGCCCCTTAACCTGCATTTAACCTGGTAATTAACCCAAGGAGACCAAGACCCCTGGCCAAGAGGGCAGCAGCACAGCAGGTCGTAATAAACATTACACGATTTAGAAACTGTTTACATAATGACAATTAAAATGTGCAAATTGAAGTTATCACACAGGATAACAATTCAAACACACAGACACTATCCAATGGTCTCGCTAGTTTTTGTAATTTACGATAGCACCAAACGTCCTCCCTCAAACTTCCTCCTCTGCTTTTTCCCCTCTTCTCCTTTCGACTGTGCCCCCTCCCCCCCCCCCCGCTCATGTCCTCCACTCACCTGCATGTCTTTCTCCAGTTGTAGCAGGTGGAAACGGTGCCAGGTGACAAAGCCCGGGCCCTCGTGGGAGAAGTCTATGCTTTCAAAGGTTGGCTGGTCCGGCCCCAGGTAAGTGTTGCTCACTGAGTAGTAGTGGCTCCAAACAAAATAGTTGTAAATGGAAATGTTCTCAAACTGTGGTGTGTTGCCGTCGGGGCCAAACACCTCCGGGTATCTACAGGTGAGGGGGGGGGCAGAAGAGAGAACGTCACCTTGTGGTATTTACCTATTAAAAGCTTGGACAGAAATTGGGAAAAGGGCTTTTGAGTATTCTGCACCCTCAGCCTGGAATCTGTTGCAGAATGACTTAAAGCTCGAGGAGCTGGTGTCCTTAAATATTTTTAAATCTAAAATTAAAGACATGGAAGCAGATTCTATCGGATGTCGATGTTTTTAGCTCGGCTGTTTGAACAACTGATTCCCAGATATGACTCATAGACGGTTCTATTTTAATCCAAAATGTTGTGCTTTGTAAATTGTACTGTGTCTCTCTTTGTATTTCCGTCTCTAACTTTGTGTTTTTGCTGCTGCCTCTCTCGGCCAGGTCTCCCTTGGAAAAAGAGGTTTTTCATCTCAATGGGACCAACCTGGTTAAAGGTTAACAACAAAGAAAAAAGAGATCTCTATCTGCTTATCTTAACCTGTTCTCAAAGCAGAACCAGCCGTCGTAACACTCATATCAGTCGATTTAATGTGTGAGAATATATCCAACAATCTGCTAGACGCTGTGTACATTTTATATCTGCTTGCAGCTTCCTATGGGGGCGAGGCTTCAAGTATAAGGCCTCTAGCTCTGCTCTTTAAACAGGAGGATTTTTCTTTTTTTCTGAGGAGGTTAAAAGGGTTCTCCTACCTGCAGCTGAGAATTGCTTCAAAAATTAATCTACTGTAATCCTCAGCTGACTTGAAAGGAGGTTATTCACAGATTTATGTTCTGTTACTTAGAACATTATAAATCCCTTTACTCCTACCTAAACTGATCATTTGCTCCTCCGCTGGCAGCTTTAACACAAAGCTGCCATGAGAAATGTAATGATTCTACTGATATTTAAACATTTATCTATTTTAAAAACAGGACATGTGTTCACTAGGTGCAATACTTCCCAGACTTCTAAGCAGGTTTTAGAGCAAAAGAATCAGCTGCCTGTCCAACGTATTTGTACAAGACCAAAGACTGGCTGTGCAAAGATCAATCTTTTATGTGAGATGGTTTCATTAAACCAGGGATTCTCAACTGGTGGGTCTGGACCCAAAAGTGGGCCGTGGAGATGTTTTCAGTGGGTTGCGAGCACAGTATCTGAAACTCTTTCTTAAACAGGTTTGTTTTGTTCAGTTTATTTCTTCCGTCGGATGTTTTGCATCGTCTGAACTACAGTCGATTGAAGCTGCAAACTGCAAAAAACAGCACAATTTTACATAAAATAATCTGATTGGTTGAAAAGAATATCTGAAATTTGGGTCGCTGTTTTTCAGGGAGGAGTTAGTGCTGGGTCCTGAGGCTAGACGAGTTGAGAACCACTGCATTAAACGTATGAAGCTGACATGTGTACCGTCTTATTACGATGACCAGGTCGGGGTGGGTGGTCCTCTTAGCTTGGTCCAAAGCGTTCACAAAATTCTGCTTCTCGACTTGGCTCATGTCCATGATATTTTTCCGTACTGGTGCGGGTGAAACGGGGTGGAAGAAAAGAGGGGAAGGAAGTTGTAGGAGAATAAAAGGAAAAGAAGGGGAAAGAAAAACAGTATAAAAAATTCACATAGACATTTTTTTTGCTTTCTTCTTTCTCTTGGCTGATGTTTTTTTTTTTCCTTTCTGTTGAGGCCTACTGAGAATGTTCAGGTTGCCAACGCTCTAGGTAAAGACAGGGGTCCGTTCTCTTACCCACAGGGACGCTCTGGTCACAGTTCGGTCCAGTGAGCCCGTGTTTACACTTCCCACAGTCGAAGCCGCTGAAATTCCCGTTGCACTGGCACGTGCGGTTGAAAAACCTCAGCGGCCACATCTCCCTGTCGTCGCGCCCGGTGTAGGGGTACTGGGGTCCGTAGCGCATGTTGTCAGCTGATATAGCCACACACTGCCCCCTCCCTGACCTGAAGCCGCACTCGTCCCGACCACCCCCGTGGGAGAAGGGCAGCACTGGCCGCTCCGCAGCACCTCGGGGCTCATACACACTCGGGGGAACTGGGCCAGCGTCAGCGGTGCACACAGGGTCACCACCAGGAGACCCGCTCTCCACATGCTGCACAAAACAAATGCAGAGGTGGAAGGGGGGAATACTTTAGGTACATGCGGTGTGCTTTAGATGTGAGAACAAAGTCAGAAATTAAGTACGTTGGGGATTTGAGAAACATAAAATAACTCTTGTTTTACATCCATCCGTCCATCTTTTCTAATCCACTTCTCGTGCTCAGAGTCGTAAGAGGCCTCCGTCTTTCCCGGCACACATTTTTTTTGCAAGACGGAGTCAATACACTGCAGACACGCACTTCAATAAAGCTCAAGTACAACTCGCTCGCTCTTGTGTTCTCTTGTTAAAGCCAATTGTCTTAACATTTTTTTTCTGAAACTTCACGTCTTACACGCCCCTGCAGGCACTTTGAGTCATTATTCATAATTCACAAAGCCATTAGCTTTCAACTCTCACAAGCTCAGAAATGCTTTCAACAATAGACGGCTCGAGATGATTTTCTTCAACCTTCTTCTTCGTCTTTTTTTTTTTCTGTGTGGCTACATTCTGCTTGTCTTTTGAAGCTTGTTGATGAGGAATGAATGAAGGAGTGAGTTATAATTTGGCAGGAGCAATTATCTTACTACAAAACAGTGATAACAACCACGCAGGGGAAAAACAAAAAAAGTGCTTTGCATATCTTCCTCAGATATTCTGAATGACTAAATGTTCTTACTCCACATTTACCCTCAGCTGATGCAACATGAGCTTTCATGTGCTGTGCATCTCCATCTGAACTTTTTCATGATTTTAATCTTCCAATAGCTTAATTATACATATTAGCATCATGTCCTTTCTATTTTTTTTTAAACAGTGTCAAAGCACTTGCTCTATTTTTCAGTCCATTGTGAGAAAAAAGCATCAGTGTGGTGTGTTTCCCCTACCTCTGACTGTGCATGCTGCTCCTCTGTCTGCAGATCTGTATCCCCCCAAGAGTCGGCCCTCTCCCCTCTTCTGGCTTAAATAGCTATGAAGCGCATGACCAGACCCTTGTGGAGCTTGTGTAAGCGCACACACACACACACACACACACACACACACACATACACACAAAGACACACATGCATGAAAACATTTGGCCTTGAAGCTTTTTCTCCAACACCCATTCTTTTGCCTTGTGATCATAACCCAGTGACGCCAGTCTCGGTCCACAGTAAAAAGACCCGACTGTGAGGTAGCATTCATGCTCGAGTCATACTTCAGTTTATTTATTCAATTTCAGAACAAGTACCATCATGGATGATGCAGTCAGGTGTCTCGGGGGGGAATGTTTGTCATATTTTTGTTGGTGTGCATTTAAGAGATTTTTTTTTTTTTTTTTTTAAAAGATTGAAATTCATACTGAGGCTTCTCTTTGACCTTCAAAAGCAAAGACAACGCACCATCAACATTATTGATCCTTGAAAAAAAGTTGTAACCATTGCTGGCATGAAGTGAGTCAACCCAAACAGCCTGTAGCCCTATTCCCACGGGATAAGTATGACCTTGGGACCTCTGATCATTTGTGATTATTGTGGAGGACGTCTGTTTTTGAATCCTCTTCAAATCGACCATGTCTGGAATCAGTAAAGTTATATTTCAGAACACACAGAGGTCTTCTGATAATAGTAATCCAGTCTAAATCAGCATCTCAATTATTTAGCGTGGTACTTTTTTTATTTTATTCTTTGAAGACGGTCTCCATGGTTTTTTCTTGCCCTCGTTTCTGGCCCAGAATAAAGAAGGCTGCTTTGGATAAACAAAAGTTTTAAAGCATTATTGGGCTCACGGTAGGGCTTGGCGATATGGACCAAAACTGTTGGACAGTAGCCTCTCTGTGTGGAGTTTGCGTGTTCTCCCCGTGCATGTGTGGGTTCTCTCCGGGTACTCCGCCTTCCTCCCACAGTCCAAAGACATGTTCAGGGTGTAACCCCGCCTCTCGCCCCAATATCAGCTGTGATCGGATCCAGACCCCTAGACCCTGAACGGGAAAAGCGGTATAGATAATGGATTGATGGATGGAGAAGACAAATGTGGACAAAAATCCATTCTCAAGAACAACTTCAACATTATCACTTTATTTCATGAATTCTTAAATCACAATGGATGATACAAATTTCAGGAGTTATTTCGAATACAAATCAAATCAAATTCAACACTTCCTCTCGGACGTTTCTTGCAGTGTTACATTCAAACAAACTTTTAACAGTTTTAACCTTAAAAAGTTTGTAGACATAAAAGTTTCTTATCACATTTTTTTTTTTTTTATCTCATTCACACACAAACTAACATACTGTACATGTACAAGTGTATTTTAAAACATGCTCTTCCTGTTCTTCATTCACACATGAGCTCTCAGCAGGTAATGAACACTTCTTCAACACATACACACACACCATCACACATGCACTCTGACAAACAAACACCTCCAAACAAATGTGTTACCTATACAGTCGTTATTAAAGTCAGAAGTTGCGTCGGGTTGGTTAGAGTTTGAAAATGAAGGGTAGTTCATGGAAAGTGGCATTTTTTCAGTTTTATTTAGATACATTAGGAACAAGCGATCACAGTTTGACCCCCTAGAGAGTGGAAGTCCTGAGGTCTTGAGGGGAGTCTGGACCGGTCCTGTGGTGGCGGGCGACTCCTCAGTGGAGCTGGGCGGGAGATCGGACATGGATATCGCATGCTCTTCTTTGTGCTGCTCTTTGTTTTGGGCCAGAGTTGAAGCCACATCAGATGGGTCAAGTGCGGCTATCCTGGCGGAAAGGGCAGTAAGGGCAGTTAGTGACCATGTTACAGTCGTAATGAAAACGATTGATTATGAATACAGAAAGTTCAACGACTCTTTTGTTGGTTTTTGTAATTTCCTCTCACCATTCCTCCTCTGCTCTGCTTATCTTGTACAAAAACGCTGCAAGGAGCCGCATTTATCGGTAGGGCTGCCAATCATGACAATACATTTGCTCGTTTTTTACAGAGGTTTATTTTTGGGCTTTTATGCCTTTAATTTGAGACAGGACAGTGGATAGAGTCAGAAACTGGGAAGAGAGAGAGTGGGGAACGACATACGGGAAAGAAGCCACAGGTCGGATTTGAACCGGGGCACGCACTTGGAGGATTATAGTTGCCAATCATGGGGCGCCACACTTACCGCTAGACTACCAGGGCCGCCCCCATCCACTGTTTTTTAAAAATTATTTTCAAGAAATGTTTTTTCGCTTATATTTTAACTTTGAAGTTTGCCTGTTGTTCCATCTGTTACCATGGAGGAGGCGGGGCTTATTACCTATACTCCAGCCAATCAGCAGGGGCTTCACTTCTCTCCTGCTTCTTTATAAAGTCTGTGGTCAGGGCACTCGTACTCAAAACAAACATGTTATTGGGGTGCCCTGGTTATTTTTTAATTTGTTTTACCATTTTTGTTTGAATGAAAGTTTAATGCTGACATAATCTTCTTTGTTTTACATGGTAGCACGTATTTTCCTATTCTGATGGGACACTAAGGGTACCAGCAAAATTCAAACACAGTTAATTTTAATGTCTTCATAATGGCTGTCGAGCTGCTGTTGAATACAGCGTTGCGAGTAAGAGCAAACAGGCTCTGTTTATTTAACGACTTTTACACCAGATGGAGAGGCTTACAAACTGTGTTGGAAGAAGTTGTAGTGGGACGTAATGACACAGCCAGATATAAATAGGTCACTTGACATTATTGACTAATTGCAGGTGACGGTGTCCCGGATGAAAGAATCTCTGAAAGTGCTGCATGTGTCATAACAAGCCCTGGTTGATTTACCCCCCAAGGGTATCCAAAAGTGGCAACCCTAAGTGTCATTCCCGATGTATAAAGGGCTTCTCCTTATCAAGAATGCACCGCGGTCATTCATTACCTCCTCTGCTGCAATCGGAAATGGTTCACAGAAGGATTCGGCTACCTTGTGTCTTTACTGGAGTGCTATGTTTTCTAGGTCAGGTTGGAGCTGTTTTGTTATGTAAAGCATTTTGTATAATAAATTATTTCAGGAGATTCATCCCCTTTTTTTTTTTTGGGTTAATTATCTAGTGGAGCTCACTCTTCTTTATTTTCAGTTGTTAGTCCTGCTTAATTACCAGCACTTTCCATTTCAAATCCTTCACTTCCCCCTCATACGTACGTTGCCTTTCGGCTTCCCAACCCGTGATGTTTACTGCCACATGAATCAAGTTCAAACGAGAAATGAAGGGAGGATTTTTAAAGGAAGAATTTGCAACATTTTACTCATAAACACAGCAGAAATGAAGTATATCCTCTGTAAATATCTCTCTGAGTCATGACTGTCTACAGTGAGTGAGAAGCTCGAGTCCTGCTGGCTGTGTTGTTGTCAGCACCGTGTTTACATCATGTTTATGGACGGGACGGCCTTGTGTTTAAAGCTGTTTTAGTCAAGGACGAGAGAAAAGAAGAAGAACATACTCACTGATCATTTGGATGTTAGTAAGTGTCTTTAGGTCTTGGTCATTCTGTGTCAATGTATGTGCAATATGAAGCTACGGGCTAACTAAAGAGCGCTGACATTGGCATGCTAACACAACAATGCAGGACACAGGTGATTGCAGCTTGAGTAAAGGACAATTTTGTCCGCTGCTTGTGCTTAATTATGGTGCGTTCTAATTGCGAGTGGAGAGGGAGGTGTGTCCCTGGAGGAGAGCGGAGGCTTCAGAATAGCGGAGGTGTCGCCAAACAGCAGTTTGTTTTGGTTTCATGCTGGTGCTCAAAGGCGACATCTACTGGATCAAAAAGTCACACATTCTTTCTTTAAACGGCTTCATTGATAGGTAGCCTTTGATTGTCGTCGGATACACTCCTTGTCCGTGTCCTTGTGATTGCAAACTTAAGATTTTTTACTTAGTATTAAGTTAATACAGTTTGGACATGCCTGTATATTAAAAGCTAAGTGCTTGAATCCAAGTATCTTTGGTTTTTAAACAACCATTTTTTTTTAGTCCTCTTAATATCGTAAACCTGTTTGTCAGACGCATATAAACTAGAGAT